TGCCGCATTTACGCATAGTATCTCTTCTGAGAACTCATTAAAAGTTATGAATAAGACACACACACACACTGAATAGCACACACACACACACACACACACTGAATAACACACACACACACACACACTGAAAACAACACACACACACACACACACACATTACTGAGACTATACAGTGCATTGGGAAAGTATTCAGACCCCTTGACCTTTTCCAAAAATATTTACGTTACAGCATTGTTCTAAAATTGATTAAATTGTTTTCCCCCCCTCATCATTCTGCACACTATACCCCATACTGACAAAGCAAAAACAGGTTTTTAGAAATTTTTGCAAATGTATAAAGTAAAATAAAACGGAAATATCACATTTACATAAGTATTCAGACCCTTTTCTCAGTACTTTGTTTAAGCACCTTTGGCAGCGATTACAGCCTCAAGTCTTCTTGGGTATGACGCTACAAGCTTGGCACAGCTGTATTTGGGGAGTTTCTTCCATTCTTCTCTGCGGATCCTCTCAAGCTCTGTCAGGTTGGATGGGGAGCGTCGCTGCACAGCTATTTTTAGGTCTCTCCAGAGATGTTTGATCGGGTTCAAGTTCAGGCTCTGGCTGGGCCACTCAAGGACATTCAGAGACTTGTCCCGAAGCCACTCCTGCGTTCTCTTGGCTGTGTGCTTAGGGTCGTTGTCCTGTTGGAAGGTGAACCTTCGCCCCAGTCTGAGGTCCTGAGCGCTCTGGAGCAGGTTTTCATCAAGGATCTCTCTGTACTTTGCCCCGTTCATCTTTCCCTCGATCCTGAGTAGTCTCCCAGTCCCTGCCACTGAAAAACATCCCTACAGCATGATGCTGCCGCCACCATGCTTCACCGTAGGGATGGTGCCAGGTTTCCTCTGGACATGACACCTGGCATTCAGGCCAAAGAGTTGAATCTTGGTTTCATCAGACCAGAGAATCTTGTTTCTCATGGTCTGAGAGTCCTTTAGATGCCCTTTGGCAAACTCCAAGCGGGCTGTCATGTGCCTTTTACTGAAGAGTGGCTTCCGTCTGGCCACTCTACCATAAAGGCCTGATTGGTAGAGTGCTGCAGAGATGGTTGTCCTTCTGGAAGGTTCTCCCATCTCCACAGAGGAACTCTAGAGCTCTGTCAGAGTGACCATCAGGTTCTTGGTCACCTCCCTGACCAAGGCTCTTCTCCCCCGATTGCTCAGTTTGGCTGGGCGGCCAGCTCTAGGAAGTGTCATGGTGGTTCCAAACTTCTTCCAATGCAGTTTAAAGAAAAATAAGTGTTAAGTAAAGAAATAGATAAGTAAAAACTATATACAGGGGGTACCGGTACAGAGTCAATATGCGGGGGCACCAGCTAGTCCAGGTAGTTGAGGTAATATCTACATGTGTGTTCATGGAGTTATTATACTATTATATCTGTTAATCTGCCTGGCATAAATTGACCATAAAGTGTGTTTGTTTGGCATGATGTTACCTGGCTTTATCAAAGCAAAGGATAAATCAAGTGTGTTTAGAAGAAGTGCACACTTAGACGGTGCAGTATGAGTGAAGTCAATTCAATTCAAATAACTTTATTTGTCCCTTTAAGGCAATTACTAAATTATGTTGGCATGTGTTTTTCTCTAACTTGGATGCGTGGGAGTTAGTTAGATAATGGTTATGTGCAATACTAAAACAACTAATGTCACTAACTGTTATGATTAAAGGTTTACCTTGAGATGTTGACTATAATGGATGAACTTCAGATAGGTAGTGTGTGTGGAATTAGTCATACAGAGGAGGCTGGTGGGAGCTTTAGGAGGACGGGCTCATTGTAATGGCTGGAATGGAATCAATGGAACGGGGTCAAACGAATTGTTTGATACCATTCCATTGATTTGATTCCAGCCACTACAATGAGCCCGCCCTCCTATAGCTCCTCCCACCAGCCTCCTCTGAGTGAGTCAGAACACTCATACACTAAGATAAAACTCAAGACAAGTGTGTTATGGCCTTGACATTGGCAAAGTCAAGCTTATCTCGAGTCAAACACAAACAGCCACCTACCGAAATGATGCAAATGGTACTGCATTAGTTTGCTAGGTTTGCTTTGAACTGATCTCACACCTGTTGATAAGAATACAGGTGAAGTTGAGTAGGCAGGTAGGTGGGTATTACAGAAGGGGGAGTTGGTGTCATTTGCTGTTTAATGTACTGAGTTGTGCAATAAATTGTAAAGCATTGTAACTAGGATTGAATTGGTCAGACAGACTTGCCACAACTGAAAGGCTATTGTACAGGGATCATCAACTAGATTCAGCCGCAGGACGATTTTTTTTCTTGATCGGATGTTCAGGGGGCCAAAATATAATTACAAATAATTTGTAGACTCCAAATTGACCACAAGAAGCCCAAAAATATGCTGCAGTAGTATAGTAATGTCTAAACGGTAGCAGGATGAAAGGCTGCAGTAGTATAGTAATGTCTAAACAGTAGCAGGATGAAAGGCTGCAGTAGTATAGTAATGTCTAAACAGTAGCAGGATGAAAGGCTGCAGTAGTATAGTAATGTCTAAACAGTAGCAGGATGAAAGGCTGCAGTAATATAGTAATGTCTAAACGGTAGCAGGATGAAAGGCTGCAGTAGTATAGTAGTCTAAACAGTAGCAGGATGAAAGGCTGCAGTAATATAGTAATGTCTAAATGGTAGCAGGATGAAAGGCTGCAGTAGTATAGTAATGTCTAAATGGTAGCAGGATGAAAGGCTGCAGTAGTATAGTAATGTCTAAACGGTAGCAGGATGAAAGGCTGCAGTAGTATAGTAATGTCTAAACAGTAGCAGGATGAAAGGCTGCAGTAGTATAGTAATGTCTAAACAGTAGCAGGATGAAAGGCTGCAGTAGTATAGTCATGTCTAAACAGTAGCAGGATGAAAGGCTGCAGTAGTATAGTATGTCTAAACAGTAGCAGGATGAAAGGCTGCAGTAGTATAGTAGTCTAAACAGTAGCAGGCTTAGCACAATAAAACATTCACCATTCCAGCTGATATAACACTAATCTTCTTTATAGCTCTGCTCCAATTCCATGCTTCCCATCTCTCTCTCTCTCCTTCTCTCCTTCTCTCTCTCTCTCACACAGATACTGTGGCCTTGGTTCTCCCTGTGTGAGTTTACTTTACTGTTTCCTCGCTGTGTTATTATGGCTGGGCGTCAGGCTCCCAGGGTTCTTTACCCACAGTCCCCCTCTCTCCCCCTCCCTCTGTGCCAGCCCCGGTCGGTCCCAGGCAACCCTCTCTCTCATACACACACACTCTGCACGTGCCATGGGCATCAGCGTTCATCTCATGTCATCTCTTTCCACATTAGTCAACAGTCAGATATGAAAACAAGAAGATCAAGCGGACTCTACGGCTGCTTCCCAAATGGCACCCTGTTCCCTATATAGTGAATTACTTTTGACCAGGGTCCATAGGGCTCTGGTCAAATGTAGTGCACTATGTAGGAAATAGGGTGCTATTTTAGACGCAGCCTAGCCGTGACTGAGGGACTTCCCTCGTCTTAATGAAGTTTCCCACTGGAGACTATGGAGAGTGTTACCTAGGTAACAGATCAAATCCTGTTTCTGGGTTCCAACATCCTTTCAACACACATACTGCGCCCCCTATAGGTGATGATAGAGAAGCACGGACAGTATAGAGATTGGGAAAAAAGGAGAGATTGTCTCAAGATTGGTATCTTGTGTATTCCATGTCACGACCCATATCACGACCCAGGAAGTTAAGTCAGGATGTTGTGTGTGACGTCTTGTGTGTGTGTGTGTCTTCAAGATTTACTAGAGAGAGTGAATGTTTCTGTGCGAATACCCATGATACCGATCCTCTTCATTTCCTGGGCCACATCTGTTCCCATGGGTGACGTCTCAAGGAGCAAGGAGCCCTGATTGGCTGGCTTATGTTGTAAGGCCTACAGGGTCAGAATTCAGTCAGTGTTCCATGCTTCTGACTTTGGGCTTAAAGGAGCAACACACACACCACACACACACACACACACAGAGGCCAAAGCATAGGTGAACTAGTTCGGCTCCAACACAACTTGTTCCCATAACAATCCCTCTCAGGATTCTGCTTAGTAAAGCTTTTCATTTGGAGGGTTCTGTCCTTCTCCTTTATCATACACTTGAAGATCTCACTGACAGAATTTTAAATGTTATCAACACTGACATTTCTAACTCTTATCGAACATAAATGTTTCACTCTGAAATCATGTTGATTTACAAATATGTCTGCTTCACCTCATGTATCATACTAGGATGAGGGTAATAACTCAATACAAAGGAGAGTGTGGCTTCTACCTCTTGTGTGTGAGAGAGACATGAAGCAACTGCTGTGTCAGTAAGTCTCTCAAAGACCTTCATTTCTCATGTTCCTCTCTCCTCACCTCAGTAGGAAAAATCAGAGATTGGAGAAGAAGGAACCTAGGGGTCTTGACCTCCAATGCTCTCCTCGCTTCCTGTGATGTTTTGAGAAGGAGACGAGGATAGAGGAGACGAGGACGAGGAATCTGCCATTGCACCCAGAGGCTAAGTTCTGATTCTCCACCCTTCACCCAGAAGTATGCTTTCGTTCACTCCCCCTAATGCATTTAAAAGCATTGCAAAGGTGCAAGCATGGCTAGAGTGAGTTTCCTTACACCAGTCCATTCCTTTTAAAATCATGACAGGGAGTATATGAGCGCACACTTCAGGACAGTGGAGAGAAAAGGAAACACAGCCACTGTCCCACAACAGCTGCTGTTCTGCCATCTCCAGTATCAGTGCATAGCAGATCAGGGAAGTTAGCGTGCTAATGCAGCCTACAGTAACTAAGCAGTAACTAAACTCTGTTTGGCCCGAGGATTAAGAGCCATATTGGCTTATCTTTAGATCTCCCTCCTTCCCCCTCTGTTTTATTGTATTTATCCCTCTCCATCTCTCTTTATCTATTTCTCTTTAATTATAGGCCTCTTTCTCTCTCTCAATGCAGGACTACATCACATCTGAAACAGAAGCAGTGAAATCTCCCCCTGAGCAAATGCTACTGTGTGTAAGTCTCTCTGTGTGTACCCACTACGCACGCAGTGTGTGTGTGTGTGTGTGTGTGTGTGTACTCTACCCACGCTATACCAACATGTGCGCCCAGCTGTGTGACCAGCTGCCCATTACAAGGCCTTCCTATTTAGATTATGGAAGACACACACACACACATTTTACGGGCAGCAGAAAATCACATGGAAATCATGAGTCATTGGTATGGCGATAGCATATCATAAGTGGACTGATATTATGTTATTTTAAGTTAGTTTACATACTGTTGGCCTACTTATGTGATTGATATCAGTACCTGACCTGCATGTGTTCCTGTGTGTGTGTGTGTGTGTGTGTGCGAGTGAGAGAGAGAGAGAGGAGAGAGAGAGACAGTGAAAGAGAGAGCAAGAACTCATACACTTCAGCATTATTCACAATATAATACCCCCAAGAATACTTCAGTCAACCCAACCATCCACACATTTATTTGCTTAGAGCAGAAACGATATGGGTTGATCATTATCATGTTTGCAAATCTATGGCAATGAGAGGAATAAAGTACTGCAATCTACAACATGGACAAGTTAAACAAATGCATGAGAAAGAGAAGGTTGTGAATCATTCTAAAGTTAGAGGGTTTGTCCTGAGAATCTCCCTGGAATTCTTTATTTTGTTTTTCCCTCTATGTGGAACGTTCCGGAACACTAATGCATTCTACACAGTAGTGAGACAATATTCCACTGCACTCAGTGCCACCTGAGTGAGTTCCCATCGCTGCCCAGTGTGTGTGTGTGTGTGTGTGTGTGTGTGTGTGTTGTGATCGTATGCCATTTCATGTAGCCCTGGCTGTGACGAATCGCTGAGCTCCCAGTAACACAATCCTAGACCCACCAGTCTATGTCATGTTTTTACGCTTTTTAATTCTAATGTCAGTTTTCCTCTGATGGTTACCATCGTGATTATACAACAGAGCAGTACATGTCTACTGCATGGCTCAATTGGTGACAGTTGCTGCTGAACCAGTGCATCCAGAGGTGTAAAGCTTAGCACAAAATGGCGCTGTATGACAGTAAATCTTGACACAAACTGTCCGTAAATCTTGACACAAAATGGCAGCTGATAGGCAAAGTGTGAGCGAGTGAGGCTATTTAAACCGACATCCCTTCTCTGAGAGGTCCTTGTTGAAGTTGTCCATCTCTGTGCACCTGACCTTGAGTTTGGCATCACTAGCACACTCTGTAGAGGTGGGCCAACGCTCTACCCAGGTACCCTTGCCCAGCATGTATGTGGCACTGAGAGAGAGAGAGAGAGAGAGAGAGAGAGAGAAAGAGAGAGAGAAAATAACCCCTTTAGGCAGATATTAACATTAACTTTATTGTTCTGACTTGCTTTGTCTTGCCAGTACTATAATATGTCCATTATAATATGTCACTGCCCCTCCTCACCTGTTGGTGGCACTGTCCTTGTACCAGAGGTCAGTTTTTGGCCCCATGATGAGGTAGTCTGTATCCTCCTTCAGGTCCAGACCTCCTCTACAGCCAGCATGGGACAGAAAAACCCTAGTGTCCACCCACACTTGGACCCCCCTCCTCCAACCCCTCGTTCACAGAGGAGGGAGGGGAGGGGGAGGAGGGGTTGGACAGAAGAGGGAGGAAGGGAGTGATGGGGAGAGAGGAGGATACAGAGAGGGGGAGGAGGGATGATGGGGGAGAGAGGGAGGAGAGGGGAGGGGAGTGATGGGGGAGAGGAGAGGGATAGGGACAGGAGAGGGGAGGGAAGGGAGTGATGGGGGAGAGAGGGGGAGGGGGAGAGAGGAGAGGGGTGAAGGGAAGAGAGAGGGGAGGGAGTGATGGGGGAGAGAGGGAGGTATGGACAGAGAGAGGGAGGAGGGGGAGAGGGAGGAGGGAGGTATGGACAGAGAGAGGGGAGGGGGGAGGAGTGAGGGAGGGAGGAGGGAGGAGTGGAGAGAGAGGGAGGGGAGGGGAGTGAGGGGGAGAGAGGAGGGTTATGGACAGAGAGAGGGGAGGGGAGAGGGAGTGGATGGAGGGGAGAGAGGGAGGTATGGACAGAGAGAGGGGAGGGGAGGGAGTGATGGGGGAGAGAGGGAGGTATGGACAGAGAGGGAGGGGAGGGGAGGGAGGAGGATGGGGAAGAGAGGGGAGAGGGAGGGAGGAGGGAGGTATGGACAGAGAGAGGGGAGGGGAGGGGAGGAGTGATGGGGGGAGGGAGGGGTGATGGGAGGGGGGAGAGGGGGGGGGTGGAGGGAGATGGGGAGAGAGGGAGGTGTGGAAAGGAGGGGGAGAGAGGAGGAGGAGAGAGGGAGGAAGGGGGAGTGATGGGGGAGAGGGGGTATGGACAGAGAGAGGGAGGAGAAGGAGTGAGTGGAGAGAGAGGAGGTAGGGACAGAGAGGGAGGGAGGGGAGGGAGTGTGGGAGAGAGGGAGTATGGGAGAGCGGGGAGGAGGGAGGGGTGATGGGGAGAGAGGGAGGTATGGACGAGAGAGAGGGGAGGGAGGGAGTGATGGGGAGGGAGGGAGGTATGGACAGGAGGAGAGGGGAGGGGAGGAGTGATGGGGAGAAGGGAGTATGAGGAGAGGGGAGGGGAGGGGAGTGAGGGAGGTATGGACAGAGAAGGGGAGGGAGTGATGGGGGAGAGAGGGAGGTATGGAAAGAGAGAGGGGGGGGGGGGGGAGTGATGGGGGAGAGAGGGAGGTATGGACAGAGAGAGGGAGAGAAAGAGAAACAGAGTTAACCATGCTGCTCCTGAGTGGCGCGTGACTAAGGTCTATCCTGGTTCGATCAGGCTCTGTGAGAGCCGAACGGGAGATCAGGCGCAAATGCCAAGGGGAGGGATGCCGAGGGATGTAGCTCAGTGATAGAGCATGGCGTTTGCAAGCCAGGTTGGGTTTGATCACGGGGGCCAGTATAGAAAAAACATATAATATAGTATACTACTGTAAGTCGCTTGGATAAGAGCGTCTGCTAAATGACTAAAATGTAAAAATGTAAATGTAACTAACTCAGCATCCCATTCAGAAACAATAAGGGAAAGGAGAGAGTAGAGAGAACAGAGAAAGACTAGATGACATAGGAGGCTTACCTATATTTATAACCTGTGTGATCTTCATCTCATATCTGTCGTATTGACTCTGGCTGACACTCAGGACCTTGGCCTTGAACACTGGAGGACAGAAGAGTTAGGAGCAGCAGAGAACAGCTAAATACACTCTACTCAATCAGAACAATTGATGATATGATCCATGACATGATACACTTGATTGTCCCCAAGGAACAATTTGACAAAGACAATTAAAGAATGAAGAGTTAGATGATTTTTCACTGCTGACGGACAACATTAATTTATAGCTGTACTATTTACTGTACATCGTATAGTATTGTCTCAGTGTGACAGATTTACAATACCTATAACATGTCTATAATGTCTATAACATGTATATAATGTCTATGTCTATAACATGTCTATATTACTCTATAGTGAAATCAGATATAGCGTACCGTGGTATAATCCTTTGCAGGCGTGGTCCTCTCGTGTTCCATAGGGGACTGGATCGGTTAGGGACTTAGACACACAGCAGTCACCTAATAGGAGAGAGACACATTATCACACACACTCATGTATGGCACATACATAAACACACACACACACACACACACACACACACACACACATAACCACATACACACAGATACAGACATACACACAAATATAGATACACACACGCACGCACACACACACACACACACTCACCCTGTGTACAGCGACACATATTGTTCCTGCAGATCTGTGTGAGTTGGTCCTTGTCCTCTTTGGGGCTGTAGAAGCGACTGCAGCGGTGGTCTGACAGAGAGAGACATGCTATGGTAACATTTCTCCACCAGGTTGACTCCAATGTTTAAGATAGCTTCTATTGTTCGAGGGCACATGTAATCGTCTGCTTAACAGCTTCTACCCCGAAGCCATAAGACTCCTGAACAGCTAATCATGGCTACCCGGACTATTTGCACAGTCACTTTAACTCTACCCACATTTACATATTGCCTCAATTACCTCGGCTAACCGGTGCCCCCGCACATTGACTCTGTACCGGTACCCCCTGTATATAGCTTCCCTACTGTTATTTTATTTTACTGCTGCTCTTTAATTATTTGCTATTTTTATTTTTTACTTATCTATTTTTTGCTTAACACTTTTTTTATTTTCTTAAAACTGCATTGTTGGTTAAGGGCTTGTAAGTAAGCATTTCACTGTAAGGTCTACACCTGTTGTATTCGGCGCATGTGGCAAATAACATTTTATTTTAATCTAGTCAGTCTAATCTACAAAACAAACCTTGTCTGCGTCCATAGTCCTACCTGGGTTGTAGTACTCATAGACAGTGACAGTATCTACCTGGGTTGCAGTACTCGTAGACAGTGACAGTATTTACCTGAGTTGTAGTACTCAGACAGTGACAGTATCTACCTGGGTTGTAGTACTCAGACAGTGACAGTATCTACCTGGGTTGTAGTACTCAGACAGTGACAGTATCTACCTGGGTTGTAGTACTCATAGACAGTGACAGTATCTACCTGGGTTGTAGTACTCATAGACAGTGACAGTATCTACCTGGGTTGTAGTACTCGTAGACAGTGACAGTATCTACCTGGGTTGTAGTACTCGTAGACAGTATCTACCTGGGTTGTAGTACTCGTAGACAGTGACAGTATCTACCTGGGTTGTAGTACTCAGACAGTGACAGTATCTCCCTGAGTTGTAGTACTCAGACAGTGACAGTATCTACCTGGGTTGTAGTACTCGTAGACAGTGACAGTATCTACCTGGGTTGTAGTACTCGTAGACAGACAGTAGGTGAGGAGTCATTGAAGTCTGCGGTGTGATGTTTTAGTACTCGTAGACAGTGACATTATCTACCTGGTTGTTATAACTCAGCAGGGACACAGATTACCTGGGTTTGTTGTACTCGTAGACAGTGACCGTACACCTGGGTTGTAGTACTCGTAGACAGTGACAGCTGAAGGCTGGAGGAGTCCCACTTTGAATGTCTGCTGCAGTCGGAAGATGATGGTCTCAGTCTCCTTGTTGGACACCTGGTAGCACAGGTAGACCACAGGAGAGTACAATGAAGCTTCCTCCGGACACTGATCTAAGGCCAGTTTTGAGTTAATAGTTTGCCTTTCACCTTTAAGATTTGGGGAGGTAAAGCTGATCCTAGATATGTGCCTACAGGCCACAGACAACCTCTACCCAGACAGAGTGAAAGAATGATGACCAGTCAACTTCTAGGATTGACATGGCAACGCTTGTCTCTCTAAGTTCAGGTCATAGAAATAGAATGAGATTCTATTGCTATGGTTCCAGTACCTTGAACAGGAAGGAAGTTACCCCTTGACACTGATCTAAGATCCCACCTAATGGTTCAAGTTAGGATTTAGGGGAGGATAAGCTGATCCTAGATCTGTTCTGGTACCTTGAAGAGGTGGATGATGAGGGAGCCTCTGTCACTCAGGTTGTCCACTATCTGGAAGTTGTTGATGTAACGGTCCACTGAGTTGGTCAGCTGGAGGCAAACAAACAAACAATCACAAAAACAAACAAACATTTTCAATAAGCTACACTTAAACACACAGTTGAAATCAAGTTGGACATTGTGTCAGAGACCAGACATGCAATTAGAGAGCCATCTAGTGGAGACAGAATAACATTACAAGTGGATTAAAGGGATAGTTAAATTACATTTTGGTTTCCTTACCCTGTAAGCAGTCTATGGACAAGGTATGACAGTAATCCATGCTTTGGTTTAGTTTCCCTAGAACTGTTTCCAAATGCATTTGTGGCACAAATCCCCTTTAGCATTTAGCATTTGTGGCGCAAATCTCATTAAATTGCGCCACTGGGCTCCCGAGTGGAGCAGCGGTCTAAGGCACTGCATCTCAGTGCTTGAGGCGTCATTCCAGGCTGTATCACAACCGGCTGTGATTGGGAGTCCCATAGGGCGGCGCACAATTGGCCCAGCGTCGTCCGGGTTTGGCCGGTGTAATAAGAATTTGTTCTTAACTGACTTGCCTACTTAAATAAAGGTAAAACATATTTTTTTAAGTAATGGGTCTGATATTAGCATTTTTGGGCATCATGTTTAAAATCATCTGTAAGTGACTTTGTTGAGCTAAAAAATAAAAATATATAGTTCCCATGACTTGGGATTGGTGCTGCACATGCTAAAACGTTAGCATTTGGAAACAGTGCCAGGGAAATCAAACCAAAACATGGATTGCTGTCATACCTTATCCATAGACTGCTTCCAGGGTAAGGAAACCAAGGTGTAACTTTGTAATTAGGGTGAACTATCCCTTTAACGTAGGTTCCAGTATGGCAGTAGTTGGACTGGAACTGTACCATCTCCAGATCTTCATTCTCTGGGACAAATCCAGTGGGTAGACTGATGTCCAGAACAACCATCCTGACCTCCCTTGGTCCCAGCGCCCTGGGGATTGGAAAGAGAGAATAGTACTTGAATGAAAAGGAAAATAGAATCAAAAAGTACATTTCCTAAAATTATGAGACTCTCAATTGTTATCCAATAACAGTAAGTCCCCTAGTGTGTTTCGGAGAGGGGGCCAACGGAGAGAGGAAATTCACAACTGAACGAATATGAAAAGAAAGACAGCCAGGTAGCCAAGATATTCAACATACTGTATAATCTCTCACCTGACATTAATAGTGATCCTGTAGGACTTCTCTGCATCTGGTGGAGGCTTTTCTGTAAGCGGGGTTAAAAACACATTAAAAAACATGCCAGACAACCATTGAGATTGAGAATAAGATTGAGATTGAGACTGAGATTAAGATTTGAGACTGGATTGAGATTAAGATTAAGATAAAAATTGAGATTGAGAGCTGGATTAACCTACCACTAGATTCTGCGATGGTCACGTCCAAATCAAAGTTCTTGCAGCTGCTCTTCTCATGCACCTCAGGGAGCTCGTTGTAGTAGGTCACCACCTAGGTCAAAGGTCATTAGACCAGGAAGTGACGACAACAAACAAATATGACATCATACATTAATATGACAAAATTGTCATGGACAAGCTTTGCTATCATGCATTGATTAATGGCCATAGACATGTTTTGTGGTCATACCTCTAGTATACCTTGTCCCTTCCCTTTGGCCTCCACTTTGAATCCCTGGTCTATAGGAGCCTGAGTGAAAACCCCACAGAAGAGAAGAGATGGTGAAAGAGGAACATGATACATCATGGTTACTAAACCTAGGCCACATATTTTACATAAGATACAGGTAGGCTGGGAGAGAAGAAATGGTGAAAGAGAGGGAGAGGAACAGAGAACATCATCCCTCCTACCCTGGAGGAGCGTGCCACGTAGGAGGTCCTGGGGTCGAAGTGGAAGCGCTGGTCCCTGCGGCCCTGGATGCTCAGGTCCACCTGGAGACTCAGGTCATTGGGAGGAGGTTTCTTTATCAGGTACTCAGACAGACCCTGCAGAACTACCATGGTGGGCTGGGGGGGGGGGGGGGGAGAGAGAGAGAGAGAGAGAGAGAGAGAGAGAGAGAGAGAGAGAGAGAGAGAGAGAGAGAGAGAGAGAGAGAGAGAGAGAGAGAGAGAGAGAGAGAGAGGGGAGAGGGAGAGAGGGAGGAGAGGAGAGGGAAGAGAGACAGGAAGCAGAGAGATGATTATAAAATGTGTACTAGATAGTGTGGAGATCAAAATGTCGGAGGGCAACAAACTGGATTGGCTAGTGACAACCTGCAATAACACCGTTGACATAAACTCAGCTCACTAACATCATGCAATACTTGTTTCCAGTGATGTCCCTCAGTACCTGTGTGGATCCGTAGCCCCCGCCCCTGCGGCGCTGTTCGTTGAGCCACTCGAAGGGTGCGGCGGCTTCAGTCATGTGACTACTCTTCACCAGGGCTAGCAGGGCGTAGCCCGTCGCCTCCAGAGTGAAGAGGCGGTTCTCAGTGTCTGGCCAATGGGTACCGTCTGGAGGAGGGGAGGGAGGGAGGGAGGAAGGAGGGGGGAGAGGGGGAGAGAATAACAGTGAAGCACAACAGAAAAGAGAGAGGGGGAGAGAGAGAGAGAGAGAAAAAAAGAGACAGACAGAAACACAGAGAGCTAGAAACAGAGACAGACAGACATTTCCCTACCTGGAGAGGCAGCTTTGAGTAGCAGGGTTTTTAAGAACAGTGAAAGAGTCCTGTCAACCAGAGACAGAGCGTAGGCAGAGATGGCCAGAGAGTAGGGCCTCTTCAGACTACCATACATGCTCCTCAGATAGTTGGCAGCTTTCTGGATCCCATTCTAGTAGAATACAATAGAATACAACTTCAATGTCCATCCTTTAGTGGGCTGTTATTAACTCCATTGTTATATGAGCAGAAGTAAAACTGATATTTGAAAATAAAATAAACCTTAACCTGACACAACAAATGAGATTTTGGCAAAACAAACTAACAGTTAAAAATAAGTAAATAAATAAACATATCTAGTAATGGCACAGTGAAGGGAACACCCATATGTAAAAATGTATGCACACATGACTAAGTCGCTTTGGATAAAAGCGTCTGCTAAATGGCATATTATATTATATTATTATATTAAGTCACTCTACAGAGTCTCAGCCAATAAGCTGTCCCGCACCAAGGCAATCAGTGCGCCAATCAACAGAATAAGGAATAAACCTGAATTTTAATACAAAAGAGTCAGTACGAAAGCCAGTACAACACCGACATGCAATTTACACTGGTTCGATTAATGGTCAGCCATGGTGCACGCAAACGCAGCGTGATAACAGGTCGGCCAACGAAATCCAAGATTCACCGGGGGAATCAGGTAAAAAGGCATCCGACTCACCAATTACTAACTTACTTCATCTCCCGTCCCAATACAACATCCCGTCCCAATATAACCGTTTCTGCCGGTTCTGTGACCGGTTTACCTTGATGGTTTGGTCAGCTCCATTGCAGTTGAGTTCTGTATCCTTGGTGGCTTCAGTCATGGCTATAAGGACAAAGGCTGTCAGAGTGGACTGAGACTCTGTACCCTGTACACCACCCTGGAGAAGAGAGAGAGACCTGTTTAGAAGCTGTTAGAAGAGTTCAGTCCCAGACCAGTGTGTGTGTGTGTGTGTGTGTGTGTGTGTGTCTCTCTCTTACGGTCATAGTAGTAGTGTAGACAGGGTTGTCCTCTCTGAAAGCTCCAGTGATCCGCTGTTTGTTGTTGAGCAGGTAGAGGAGAGGACCACACACATCCTGTTCACTCACTCCTGCCAGCCGACGAGCCATAGAGAACACCTTCACTACATACGCTGTGATCCTATGGGGGGGGGGGGGGGACGTAAAAATAGATAAAAGGGGGGAGGTAGAGAGAGAGGGTGTGAGGGTTACAAATACAATCCATTGTACTATTTAGATTACTCTGTGATTGAATACATGATACACATTCTTCTTATTCTATGTATTTGAACAATACCATGTGCTTGTGCCTTCATTCCTGTAGGGGGGGTAAGAGTCGTCTTTCTTCTTATACACCAGCTGCTTCTGGTAGCCTTTCTGGATGTAGTTGATGGCCTCCACCCTGCGTTGCACCCCTACAGTCTCCCAGTCGTTGGAGCGGTCCAGGTAGACAGTGGCTATAAGAGGCAGGGTGATGCTGGCTAGGTTCTGTTCCACACAGCCACCAGGCATACGGATCAAAGAGGCCAGAGAGTCACCGCTGATACTGTTGTCTATGGTGTCAGCCAACAAGTTACCTGGTGGGAGGAGTAGAGTAGAGTAGAGTAGGGGAGAGGAGCGAGCAGAATAGAATGGAAGGAATGGAATAGATTAGGTTATTGTCCACACAGTTGCTTTGGCTTCACAATGCCCATAACCAACCCAAAGGTTTGGAGGCACCAGCCAGCCATCAGTTCTGTCTAATAACTTAAAGCTTGTTTCTCAGTTAGGCCTACCCCTGATGTTGATGAATGTCTCTGGTAGAGAGTTTGGAACCAGGGAGCCCAGCTCCACTTTGTCAACCTCCACCACCTGCCTCCCATCTGGGGGAAAACATAGTAAGAGGGCTTAGTACAGATTGTTTGGAAAGGGGACATGGAAATGGTAAGCATTAGGGTTAGAGATTGGGAATGTCTTCGCTCTACTCACCGTTCCCTCCCTTGGCAGAGGGGTTCAATACAAAACTCTGCACTTTAGTCTTCTGAACTCCTTCCACCTGTTAGAGGGTTTTGAAAACAGGTTAGAGAAACCAGTCCTCATATCTCAGGTAAGGAAACTGATTCACAGTTGCAATATATATTTGTGTTATTTATTGAACCTTTCTTTAAATATTTTGTATTATTATTTATTTGACCAATTATAAATACTTTTTTAATATATATATATATATGTTTTTATGAAGCAAACTCTGTGACATGTTAGACCATACTCTGAAGTAACTAACATCTGAAATAGTCACCCACCACCACGCGTAGCGTCTTCTTGACCCCGTCGCTACCCACAAACCCTCTGGCCATGGCGAGGACCTCCAGGATCATCTCTCCGGCCTTGAGCGGTATGATGGTGTAGGGAACCACCAGGGACGAGCTGCCCTTCAACTTCACCTCCTGGGTGTGTTTCTCATTGAACGCCACACTGCACATGTCCTCTGTCTTCAGTAGCACCACCTTAACCTGGGTTGAGTAGAGGAGGAGGACATGGAGATGGTCAAGACACAAAATGGCTGAGAGGAAGTGAGCAGAACTGGGTGGGTTTATCATTGAATGCCACACAGCACATGTCCTCCGTCTTCAGTAGCACCACTGTAACCTAGGGAAGCTGAGAAGAGGAGGAAACGGGGACGTTCAAGACACAAAATGGCTGACAGTAATGGGAGGGTTAGGAGGGTTGAGATACAAAATGGCTGACAGGAAGGGATCAGAGGGGAGCTAGACGGTGGGAGTAGTAGGTAGATAGAGGTTGCCTCAATTCATCAGCCTGATGGTTAAGGTAAGGCTTGAGGATTAGTTAAAGGTCATGGGTGAGACGTCAGAGGTGAGCTTGCCTCCATGTCCTCGTCGCCATAGTTATGGAGCACAGCTTTGATCTCCACGTGTTCGTTCCTCGCCACTGAGTACGGCAGCTTCAGGTCCACAAAGAAATGCTTCCACGCACGCACGTTCCACGGCTCGGCTACGCAGAAACCTGGAATAAAAACAAACAAACAACAAAATGATTTAAATAAACAAACAACAACAACAGGTGGTTGAGCACATTATGCCTTAGTTAGAATGCTAGAATTGTTCAGCAATGTTTTGTATTCCTAATATCGTACCAATATCCCCACTAGCATACTACTTGGAATCCTCCTGGGAAATGACTGAATATGGGTACAGTGAGAGGAAGCCATTTTAGAGCACTGAGATTTAGGCCCAATCCCAAATGGACCCCTTAAATCCTAAACCCTACGCACCTTTGGTGATCTGATTGGATTTGACAGGTGTTAGTGATTGGTAACAGTTCCACCTTGCCCTCTGATAGGTGTTCCACCTTGCCAACAAGTGCATAGGGCGTAGCACTTAGGAACTGGGTCGATGGCTAACCCAGGGGAAGGGAAGGGGGAAAGGTCTACCTGTGACAGGTGAGGAGCTGATGGCTAGTACCCCCCACTGGGTGATAGTGTCTGGGAAGACGGACTCCACAGCCAGCGATGCCAACCTGTAAGGAACAAACTCAAACAAATGAAGTCCATTTAGTTGACCTCTTGTAAGCTAAGCTCGTTACATGAGCACAGTAAAACATTAGCTTGAAGATAAATATTGAGAAAGACTGAGTCTGGTGGATTGATTGATGCCGTTGCCTAATACAATGCTAACAGTGACATGCACACGCACAAATATCCCTGGGATAGAACACGATGGCGCAACAGTGTTTATTTTTTGGGGGGGAAGTCCACAGTCCACTGTGGTGCAACTCTGGGGATTTACAGAGCAGGTAGTTTAACTTCAAATGGATACTGCGAGATTCTGGCAATTAGCCGTTTTCTACTTCCCCAGAGTCAGATGAACTCGTGGATACCATTTCTGTGTCTCTATGTGCAGTATGAAGGAAGTTAGAGGTAGTTTCGCGAGCCAATGCTAACTAGCGTTAGCGCAATGACTTGGAAGTCTACAGCTACACTAGCTTAATTGCCAGAACCTTGCAGTATCCCTTTAAGTGTGAGAGGGGTGTAGCTTGGCCTATTCCCCTTTTGATTGGGATCACAAAAATGGTCAACCCCTTATAGAAAGAGTTTTCCCTGGACAGGTCATGTGGTTAGGAAAAACTCCTGGCCCTACTCATAGGAAGTAGCCTGTAGTATGCACAGTTCAGCACTTTGGCACAGTTTCAAACCAAATCAAATCAAATCAAGTCAGCCTATGAGCAGGGAAACTGCTGGCCCTTCATATGAGGGGGAGAGAGGACAGTCAGAGGTACTCACCCGTCTCTACTGTCCTCAGGCACACTGGGCAGCATCAGATCTCTCCACAGCCATGACTCGTAGAACTTAGACCTCACTGTCACCTTACCCTCCTCCATAAAGTCATCCTCCTCTTCCTCCTCCTCAACAAAAGACTGTCTCTCTTCTTCCACTGGGGATGCCAATCTCGGTACAGAATGCATCAACAACCTTTCACCTGATGCAAAACAAAAAATATGTTTAAACTTGGTCTGTTTGATGGATGGATAGAAGGATCAATCGATTGATTGATGGATTAATTGAGAAATCAATCATTTTGAGCTCAGTTGTCTGCTGTAACATACTTGGACAGAAGTTCGATCTGGATAGAAGTTAGAATTAAATTAAATTAGACTTGACAGACTCGACTTAATTAACAAGACCTGCAGTATTGTGTTCGAGACCACCTAAAGCGACACCGATTCAAAATGCAAACCTAATTCAAGACAATTATTATAATTTTTTGATCACCACAATAATAAGTTAAACATTTCCATATTTTGGAATAACATATGGATTCTTTAGACATTCAGAATGGTGAAAAAATGCATGCTGAGGGCAAAAGTTATCACTAACCCAAACAGGTCTATAAAAAGACAAACTTCCCCCAGTCTCCCCTTACTAATAGTGAGCATACAACTTTCAAGCAATTTCCCACACTATTCCCTACCAGCGAATCAAGGAAATTATGCTGAGCACTACAAAGTTTGAGGATATTTTTCAATGAAAGTAAAGGAGAGTAATGAATAAAGTAGGAAGCCCAGGTTTTAATAGGTGATAAGATATTCATGTGTCATGAAAGGAGTGTGGATATTTGGCGAAGCAGTTATATGTGCTGACTAGTGATGTGCAGTTTGCAAACAATTCATTATTTTTGAACGTCTCTTTTGACTGACTCGAGAGTCATGATTAGTTTTTCTGAGCGACTCGTTAATTTTAGCAGTTTGTTTGAACATCTAATTCTGGCTGCTATGAGTCCTACAGCAGGGTTAATACACACACTTCCGGCTCAGCGGCTCCAGAGACGTGCATCGACCACCAACTGTCTGTCATATGAACGCAGGAAAAATAGATAATGAGCATAGAGAAGAAAAATAGAGCTGATAATGAATCGCATGGTGCAAGAATGACTGCAATGAATTGATTATTGAATATTATGATGGACACAGCTTTGTAGAACCATAACATACACAGCCTCTGCTCAACAAACTCGACCTCAAGAACTAATCTTTTGGGGGGCTGCAGTTCGCAAACGGCTGTGCTTATCACCCTCACGGCAGTCAAGCAACGCATTCCACCAAGAGTCGTTCACAATCTAGTCTGGTTACGGCCACAACTAGACCTCGTTTCAAATGTATTAAGAAATAATCTCATTTGTATGCCTAGCAATCAACAAATGTACATTGTTTAAAGCACACGTTTACAAGTCTGTCACAAATGTCAGCTCCAATAAGCCCCCTTTGTTGAACGACATAGCGTGGCAGGCAGCCTAGTGGTTAAGACTGTTGGGCCATTAACCAAAAGGTCACCTGTTTGAATCCCCAAGCCGACTAGATGAAACTAATGTGGCTATCATAAAGAACTACAAATGACATGATGATCTGGACAAGACTGACGAATATAGGCAAAGGTATGAATCTCTGGATTAACTATCTAATGTTAGCTAAATGTAGTAATTCATAAATTGACAATGTTAGAAATGACTTGCAGCAATTTGTAGTCTTGCATGATGTCTACTTTGATGCTAATTAGCTTTTTCGAATCTGACAGTAAATAGAGCCGAATAAATTGATAAAAGTCACCTTGTCCAAGAGAGATTTACATTGTTATCAAAACTTCATGCCAGGGTAAGCATACACAAAACAAAGCCCTTATTTTAAGTGTTTCTAAAATCCCCTATGGGAAAAATGAATGGTGGAAAAATGATTGGAACCATTTCCCTGTTTGACAGCTAGGTTTTATGGGTATTCTGGCACCTTCAATGTGAGACTCTATTAGTGACTCAAATGAACGAAATTAGTTGAAAGATTTGTTCTTTTTGCCTGAATGAGTCGAAAAGATCAGAGTCAGTAAAAAGAGTCGAACTTCCCATCACTACCGCTGACTGAATGGAAGCTGACAATTATGAGTTTTTTACTCTGCTGGTTTGGGCTGGTCTCGGGAAGAAATTATGAATCCTCATTGTTTCGAGAACGATTCAAGACTGAGTAAAAGTGTATCTGACACCGAGACAAGACCGATACCCTCAATATGTATCTCGAGACTGGATTCGAGTACTACAACACTGCTGCCGCAAACACCTAACAATTTATTAACCAGCTAGTCCATCATCATCACTGTTACCTTTTGAAAAGTATACTTCGGAATGTAGCCCAGGAAAAATGTGTCTGTTCAGAGTTGGCATGGGTCGAGCTGTGGTGGTAGGGGGTAGAGGGGTGGTAGGAGGTAGTCTGGTGTCGAACTCCTCTCCCCTGTACTTTGAGCAGCAGTACCTGAAAGTGCCAAACAGTTCAGTTCAGTGCACTTCACTTCAGCTCAAATCAACTCAGCTCAATTCAACTCTGCTCAATTAAACTCTGCTCAATTAAACTCTGCTCAATTAAACTCTGCTCAACTCAACTCAACTCAGTACCTGAAGGCCTTGATGCACTCCCATCCCTCAGTGATGTAGAGGGAGCGTCGTGTACAGGAGTAAGGCATGGGGATCTCTCTCAGGCCGTCCTTACAACACTGACGCAGCAGCTTCTCTCTGTAGTGGTTCTCTGTAGGGAGAGGGGAAGAGAGGGAGCTCAGAACCATCAACCAAGCCACCTATCCATCAATAAATCAGTCCCCCCAATCAATCAATCAAATATCATTTCAACCAACTAATCAATCAATCAATCATTCCATCCATCCACCCATACATCAACATATAAAACTTAATTTACATATAACTTTTTCTGTCACTGACCCAGTTCAGTTCTGCGTTGCAACATCTCAGCAGAGCGCCTCCTTCTGGACCTCCCTGGGCACTGCATGCCTGCAGAGGAGATGGGAGGGAGGGATGGAGGGAGGGAGGGAGGGAGGGAGGAAAACACAGGAATGGCAAACAACGAAATGAAAGTGTTCTACAAACCAAGAAACACAGATGTCTATACAAGCCCACTGGTCTGTCTTCCTCAAACTCATGATTGGGCAACTCGGGAATTTGTTGCTTTTACTAATCTTCCCTGCTAGCTCACAGGAAACAGAACATTGCAAACACGGCCTTTGGATGCCTGCAGTAGAGGACTGATGTTACCCTCTTTTCTCATATTAACCATTAGAAGACTGATGTTACGCTCTTTCCTCATATTAACCATTAGAAGACTGATGTTACCCTCTTTCCTCATATTAACCATTAGAGGACTGATGTTACCCTCTTTCCTCATATTAACCATTAGAGGACTGATGTTTACCCTCTTTCCTCATATTAACCATTAGAGGACTGATGTTTACCCTCTTTCCTCATATTAGCCATTAGAGGGAAGAAAACACATCTGATGCTGTATCAGCGGTAAGGTATGGTCCTTTACCTTGTCTGTAGAAGGTGGCTCTTCCTGTGTGTCTGCATATGTGCGTACGTATGTGTGTGCGTACATATGTGTGTGTGTCTGTGCTACCTTGTCTAGAAGAGGTGGCTCCACCAGTGTTGGAGTAAAACAGCAGTCCAGCGTCAGTGAAGACCCCCATGCTGTTGCTGCCCCCACCGTGGGTACAGCCCATGTCCCCCCCCTCCACCACCTGCCAGACCTGACGGGGGCACAGAGGAGTCAGAGGTGTGTTATCCTGACGGCAACTTCAGATGATTGATTGTTCGGCTCTCTGTGTCCTCTCTGTGTCCTCTCTGTGTCTGTCTATTGATTTCTACAGACACACACAGTCTCCCTCACCTTCCTCTGTGTGAGCCTCTGTCTGTTGAGCAGGAACACAGCGTTGTCCACCACCACCAGACTGATCATGGCTCCTGGGTCTCCTCTCACCTGGAAGTTGAACCCTTTCCCTGGGTGGTACTCTGGGGGCCTGGAGCCAGCTGGACCAACACTCAACTGGGGGGAGATGGAGGGGGAAAGATAGTGGTACAACATGAGAAGCGGGTAGTTGAACCCTTTCCCTGGGTGGTAGTACTCTGGGGGCCTGGAGCCAGCTGGGGGGAGAGGGGGGTTTGTTTTGGATTAGTTCATCTAACACGACATAGGTCTGTCATCACCATGACGTAACCAATCAGGTCCTTCCATACCAACTGTACTGAAGGATATAGGAGAGAGGGGAAAGAAAATATGACTTTGTCCAAACATGACAGACTTTGCTTTCGTCTGTACAATCAACACTAATCAGTGATTATGTCAAAGGAGGAGGGAAGGTATCAAAGAAGGAAGTAACATTAAACATATCCTGGGTTGTCCAGTCCACTCACCGCCCCAACACAGGCATCCTCCACATCCACCCACACAGAGTCAGCCACCACCTCCGACCCCCCCGCCCACGGCAGCATGTAGAACGCCACAACGCGGAATGAGGGCATCATCTCCGTGGTAACGGTCAACAGAACGTTGGTCACATCCTGACCTCCGACCTCTAATCTCTTGGCAACAATGATCTTGCCCTTGTTCAACACCTGTAGGAGGAGTTTGAGACACTTGGTGACAGACAAAGGTACATTTTGAAGACAGAGCTACAACTATGTAAATGTCTAAGCTATATACGGTACCACCACATGGTAGAAAATATAAATATACAGGGGTATCTTGAAAATACTTGATTTTGGATTGTAAAAAATCTGGCCCATTTCAGTTAGCACTCACCAGCTATTCAATTCATTTTTATTCTATTCTCCAGTACTAAATCCACTCACCAGGTAAGTGAGGTGAGTGATGAGTTCCCTGTGGGCCTTGTCGGCAGTGTTGATGTGTAGACTGAGGCCAAGGCTCTGCCCCAGAGAGGCTGTGGTGGTCCCAGTGGAGATATACAGGTAGTTCTGTCTCTGCTGGTCAAAGGGTGTGTAGGGGTGAAGGGTAATCTGCTGTCTGGCCTGCTGCTCTGGCTGTAGACCCGCCTGTTTGGTCTCAGCCTGTATTTAGGATTTACAGACACATAAAATAAATAAAAAATATAATATTTAGCAGACGCTTTTATCCAAAGCGACTTACAGTCATGTGTGCACACATTTTTACGTATGGGTGGTCCCGGGGATCGAACCCACTACCCTGGCGTTACACGCGCCATGCTCTACCAATTGAGCTACAGAGGACGTGCACTATGAAAAGTTTTTGCTTATGAACACTAAGAACCAATAGTTGTTATAACTGCTTAGGGCACTACTGAGGGTGGTTATATCTGGTTATACCTGGTTATAAGCACCATTAGCTCTACTGAGGGTGATTATAGAAGGTTATAGCAGGTTATAGCTGGTTATAAGCCCTGTTAGGGGTGCTTACTGTGATGGTCTGCGGGCGCAGCTCAGTAAGCATGTTATTATAACTGGTTATAAGCACTTATAGCTGGTTACAAGCATCATTAGCTCTAGTGAGGGTGGTTATAGCAGGTTATAGCTGGTTATAAGCACCATTAGCTCTAGTGAGGGTGGTTATAGCAGGTTATAGCTGGTTATAAGCCCTGTTAGCGGTACTCACAGTGATGATCTGAGGGCCTAGCTCAGTGGGCATGTTGATGGAGGTCCTGATAGTGCCAGGGTGGCTGGTGACGGGGTTGGGCAGGAGGCTCACCTGGACCGGGACGTTACTGGCCGGGGAACCATCCTGGAAACTCACCTGGATCTGAAGAACCCCGTTAGAACACGTTAGAACGTAACCTGATCCACCATCCTGACCGCTGTGCTCTCATTTCTTTTAACAGAATGTAAGCATGTGAGATCAGGATGGTAGAACGAGGCTCGTTAGAAGAACCTGTTAGAGATATAAACACTTTATACCTGGATCTGAACCAGATTAAAGCAGTAAATGCTTTAGATTTTGAACTTTACTTATTAAGGAGATGTTCTTATCACAGAATTCTATTTTTATATTGCATCGCTATGGCTCTTATCTCCAACGACTTATAATTAATTGAAATAAGGTTGATCCTTAGTGTCTATAAGGCCTTGATGTTGTGACGTTACCATGACGTCAAAGGGCATGCCAGGCTTGTAGTACTTTGGTGTGTCTATGAAGGAGAGGACGTAAGGGGACTCCACTATCTTAATACCAGACTTCTCTGCCTCTACCAGGTCACTGCCTATAGAGGAGTAGAAAGATATAAGACTGTGTTAGCCCGCTGAGTCAAAGTCTAGGCATTAGCTTGGGGAGCTAACGTGAGTCATCAGGTTTTGGATAGCCTGTATCTGACCTTTTTCATTCAAAGGTCCATTGTAATTTAATCCATCTCGATTTTAATCATTTCAATAAAACTTTATTGACCTTACCTGATTTGGTCAGCACTGAGGCCTTGACGTATATAGAGTTTCCAACCAGGGACCTGAGGTCGGGGTAGGCCTTCCTGATCTCCGCCATGGTCAATGTAGCGGTGCCTTGCTGCAGCTGAAATGAAGGAAGGAAAATGGAAGTTGTTGTATGTTTACACTTTACGCTGAATTGATCTTCCTGTGTGAGGTGTGTATGACTTTTAGTTGGGGAAAGGGTCTAGCATTTCAAAATGTAGTGTACTATTAGTACTCACATTGGTGACCTGCTTTACCGACGGTAACCTCCTCTTCTCCTTGTTCACCTCTACCCCAAACACCACGTAGGCCGTTCCCTGGACATCTTCACCATACAAGTATCTGTTACCATAGAAACACAATTACTACAACGACCTCACCTTACAGGTAGCTGTTACCATAGAAACACAATTACTACAACGGCCTCACCATACAGGTAGCTGTTACCATAGAAACACAATTACTACAACGGCCTCACCGTATAGGCAGCTGTTACCATAGAACTAGAATTACTGGAACAGACATTTCCATTCAACAGTCGTTCCTGTCAAGGCGTGCTGAAGGTGGGTGTGGTGTAGGAATCATGCGCAGGACACAGAGGCTCAGTCCAAAGGCTTTAGTGCAATAAATATATATCCAACCGAAGCAAAATAAGCCCGAAGGCAAAATGCACGACGCACACAGGCGACAAAACGAATGACGCACAAACATGTGCAAACAACCCTCTCAAACACTGGAGGGAAAATGTAGCTCCAAAACACGAAACAGTAGTACAATCACACACAACGACAAGCACACACAACGAGAACTAAATAGGGCACTAACGAGGACTAACAAGACACAGGTGTACAACATCCAGACAAAACCAATCGAACATGAAACATAGATCGGTGGCAGCTAGTACTCCGGGGACGACGACCGCCGAAGCCTGCCCGAACCAGGAGGAGGAGCAGCCTCGGCCGAAACCGTGACAGTACCCCCCCCCCCCCTTGACGCGCGGCTCCAGCCGTGCGCCGACCCCGGCCTCGGGGACGACCAGGAGGACGCGGAGCAGGGCGCGCGGGATGGTCCCGGTGGAACTCCGACAGGAGAGATGGGTCTAGGATGTCCCTCCGGGCCGTACCCCTCCCACTCCACGAGATACTGAAGACCCCCCATCCGGCGTCTAGAGTCCAAGATGGACCGAACGGTGTACGCCGGAGCCCCCTCGATGTCCAGTGGGGGCGGAGGAGTCTCCCCTATCTCATTGTCCTGGAGTGGACCAGCTACCACCGGCCTGAGAAGAGACACATGGAACGAGGGGTTAATATTCCTATACTCAACAGGTAGATGTAATCTATAACATACCTCGTTCAATCTTCTCAGGACTTTAAAGGGCCCCACAAACCGCCGACCCAGCTTCCGGCAGGGCAGGCGGAGGGGTAGGTTTCTGGTAGAGAGCCAGACTCGATCTCCGGGTGCGTACACCGGCCCCTCACTGCGGTGGAGATCGGCGCTCGCCTTGTGACGAAGGACGGCCCGCTGCAGGTGGACGTGGGCAGCGTTCCACGTCTCTTCCGAGCGCCTCATCCAATCATCCACCGCAGGGGCCTCGATCTGGCTCTGCTGCCAAGGTGCCAGAACCGGCTGGTACCCTAACACACATTGGAAGGGGGTTTGGTTAGTAGAGGAGTGGCGGAGAGAGTTCTGGGCCATCTCGGCCCAGGGAATGTACCGTGCCCACTCCTCCGGCCGGTCCTGGCAATACGACCTCAGAAACCTACCCACATCCTGGTTGACACGTTCTACCTGCCCGTTACTCTCCGGGTGGTACCCTGAGGTAAGGCTAACCGAGACCCCCAAACGCTCCATGAACGCTCTCCAAACACGAGAGGTAAACTGGGGACCTCGATCAGACACTATATCCTCGGGTACCCCGTAATGCCGGAAGACATGGGTAAATAGGGCCTCAGCGGTCTGTAGGGCAGTAGGAAGACCCGCCATAGGGAGAAGACGACAGGCCTTAGAGAACCGGTCCACAACGACCAGGATGGTGGTATTCCCCTGAGAGAGGGGAAGGTCTGTCACAAAATCCACCGAGAGGTGGGACCATGGTCGTTGTGGAACGGGCAGGGGTTGTAACTTACCCCTGGGCAGATGTCGGGGCGCCTTACACTGGGCACACACCGAGCAGGAGGAGACATAAACCCTCACATCCCTTGCCAAAGTGGGCCACCAGTATTTAGTGCTGAGGCAATGCACCGTCCGGCCGATACCCGGATGTCCAGAGGAGGGTGACGTGTGAGCCCAGTAAATGAGTCGATCCCGAATCTCGCGCGGAACGTACTTCCGACCCTCAGGACACTGTGGAGGGCTGGGGTCGGTACGCAACGCTCGCTCGATTTCGGCATCGACCTCCCACACCACCGGTGCCACTAGGCAAGACTCCGGTAGTATGGGAGTGGGCTCAACGGACCTCTCCTCCGTGTCATACCGCCGGGACAGCGCATCTGCCTTACCATTCTGAGACCCAGGGATGTACGTGATTTTAAATACGAACCTGGTGAGAAACATACTCCATCGAGCCTGGCGAGGGTTCAGTCTCCTCGCTGCCCGGATGTACTCCAGGTTCCGATGGTCAGTCAAAATGAGGAAAGGGTGTTGAGCCCCCTCAAGCCAATGCCTCCACACCTTAAGGGCTTGAACTACAGCTAACAGCTCCCTGTCCCCAACGTCATAGTTACGCTCCGCCGGGCTGAGCTTCTTACTGTAAAAGGCACAGGGGCGGAGTTTAGGTGGCGTGCCGGACCGTTGACAGAGAATGGCCCCTATACCAGCCTCAGACGCGTCTACCTCGACCTGAAAGGGTAATGCGGGATCCGGATGCGCCAGCACCGGAGCCGACGTAAACAGGTCCTTCAGTCTCCTAAAGGCCCTGTCCGCATCGGCTGACCACTGCAGGCGCACCGGACCCCCCTTCAGAAGGGACGTGATGGGAGCTGCCACCTGTCCAAAACCCCGGATAAACCTCCGGTAGTAATTCGCAAAGCCCAAAAACTGCTGCACCTCTTTTACAGTAGTTGGGGTTTGCCAATTACGCACAGCGGACACACGATCCACCTCCATTCTCACCCCTGACGCGGACAACCGATAACCCAAAAAGGGGACCGACTCCCGGAAAAAAAAAGACTTTCTCTGCCTTGAATATAGGTCGTGCCCAAAAATCCTCCTCCCCCAATTTACCGGGGCCGCACCAGGTTAAATTTAAAATGCCCCTCCCCGGCTAAAAGGACGAGGGTACAAAAAAAGGGGGAAAAAAGCCATTCAATGTTTAAACCCCCCCCTTTTTTTAAAAAAAAAAACCCCCTTTTGGGGGGGTTTTCCCCCCCGGGGGAAAAAAAACCCCCCCGGGGGGTTTTTTTGGGGGGGGAAAAAAAAAACCCCCCCCAAACCTCCCCCCCCAAAAAACCCCTGGGGGAAAACCCCGGGCCCCCGGGCCCCCCCCCAGCCCAAACCCCCCGGGCCCCCCAAAAAGGGGGGGGGAAAAAAGGGGAAAAGGGGTTAAAACCCAAAAAAAAAACCCCCCAAAAAAAAAACCCCAAAATTTTTCCCCCTTTTTGGGTTTTTTCCCAAAGGGGACCCCCCCCCCAAAACCCCCGGAAAAAACAGGACATTTCTCTGCCTTGACATATAGGTCGTGCTCCAACATCCTCCTCAATACACGCCGCACCAGGGTTATATGCTCGGCTAGACGAGTACACCAGAATGTCATCAATGTACAGTATACGACCACCCCTTGTCCCTGCATATCCCGGAAAATGTTATCTACGAAGGATTGGAAGACTGATGGAGCATTCATCAACCCATATGGCATGACGAGATATTCGAAATGACCAGACGTGGTACTAAACGCTGTCTTCCATTCGTCACCCTCCCTAATGCGCACCAAGTTATATGCGCTCCTGAGATCCAGTTTTGTGAAAAACCGCGCTCCATGCAATGACTCCGTCATGGTCGCAATCAGAGGGTGGATAACTGTATTTCACAGTAATCTGATTGAGACCACGGTAATCAATGCACGGGCACAACCCTCCATCTCTCTTTTTCACAAAAAAGAAGCTTGAGGAGGCGGGAGAAGTGGAGGGCCGAATGTATCCCTGTCTCAAAGATTCGGCTATATAAGTCTCCATAGCTTTCCTCTCCTCTTGAGACAAAGGATACACATGGCTCCGTGGGAGCGCTGCTCCTGCCTGGAGATCAATCGCACAATCCCCCTGTCTATGAGGAGGCAACTGCGTCGCCCTAGTTTTACTAAACACCGAGTGCTAAATCCCCATATTCAGGCGGAATGTGCAGTGCGGGCACTTGGTTTGGACTTTCCACCGAAGTCGCCCCCACGGAAACACCCAGACATCGCCCCTCGCACTGAGCAGACCACCCATCGAGAGCCCTCTGTTGCCACGAAATAGCAGGGTTATGGGTGCTTAACCAGGGAATCCCCCAGCCCACTGGGTACGCAGGAGAGTCGATCAGATACAACTGTATAGTCTCCTCATGACCCCCCTGCGCCACACATCCGAAGTGGCGCTGTGATCTCCCTGATCAACCCCGACCCCAACGGACGGCTGTCTAAGGCATGAACGGGAAAAGGTTGGTCAACAGGTAGGAGAGGGATCCCTAACTCAAAACAAAACTTACGATCAACAAAATTCCCAGCTGCGCCTGAATCTACTAGCGCCTTATGCTGGGAATGAGGTGCAACCTGTGGAAAAAAAACAGATAAAAAGTTTAACAGAAATCTTTTTTGGGCCACCCCGGGGGCCCCCCCGGGGATTTTCTACTCCCAAACCCCCCCCCCCTGGCCCAGGTGCCCCCCCACCAAATTTTCGGGGGCCCCCGGGCTTTACTTTTCACCCACCCCAAATATGGGGCTCGGCCGGAAAACCGGGGGGCCCGGGAAAGGACTTTTCGGGAGACCCCCAGCATGAACGGGGAATTTTCCAAACGGTCCAAGGGAAATGGGTTACCCGGGCCCCCCCAAAAAAGGCCTTGGTTAAAAGGGTCAAAGCCCCAAACCCCCCCCTAAAGCCCTTTAAAACCTCCAGGGGGAAAAGGGGCCCCCCCCCCCAAAAACCAACTTTTGGCCCCTTCCCAAAAGGGGGTGGTCGAACACCCTTAAGGGGGGGGCCCCCAAAAAAATTTTTGGGTCCCTTTCCCCCCGGGCCCCCCCCCCGGTTGAGGGAAAAGGGGGGGAAAGTCTTATTAACCCCGGGGGCCCTCCCGGAGAGCCCTTCCCAGGAGGGAAAACCCCCCAACCCGGAAATTTGGGTTTTTAGGGAAAGGAAAACCCCCCCCGGGTTCCCCGGGCGGGGGCCCCAACCCCGGGAAAGGGGGGGGGGAAAAGGGGAAAGGGGCCCCCCCGGGGGTTATGTTATTACCTCCCAAGGGTCTTATTCGGAGGCCTCGCCCGGAGGCTTTTGAGCGAAAAACCCCCGGGTTGGTGTTCCCCTTTTTTGGGGGGGTTTGAAGGGGTGAAGGGGGGGGTTAAAAACCCAGGGGCCCCAGGGAAATCCAAAGGTTTAGTGTTTAAAAAAATTTCCAAAAAAAAATAAAAAAAAAAAACCCCGGGGAAGGGAAAAAAACGACAAAATTCAAAAAAACCCTTTCCTGGGGGGGCAAAAAGGGTAAAAAAAAAAAAAACCCAAAAAAAAAAGGAAAAAAATGGGAAAGGGGGTAAAGAAAAATGGCAAAAAACCCAAAAAACCCCTGCATGATGTTGATTACCTCCTGTAGAGCGGTCTCCAGGTGTCGGATCTGGTCCTCTTGCCCACGGAGATGCTCCTCGAGCGACACAGGCGTCACTGCCGATCCTGCTGATTCCATTATAGTGGTGTGTGATTCTGTCAAGGCGTGCTGAAGGTGGGTGTGGTGTAGGAATCATGCGCAGGACACAGAGGCTCAGTCCAAAGGCTTTAGTGCAATAAATATATATCCAACCGAAGCAAAATAAGCCCGAAGGCAAAATGCACGACGCACACAGGCGACAAAACGAATGACGCACAAACATGTGCAAACAACCCTCTCAAACACTGGAGGGAAAATGTAGCTCCAAAACACGAAACAGTAGTACAATCACACACAACGACAAGCACACACAACGAGAACTAAATAGGGCACTAACGAGGACTAACAAGACACAGGTGTACAACATCCAGACAAAACCAATCGAACATGAAACATAGATCGGTGGCAGCTAGTACTCCGGGGACGACGACCGCCGAAGCCTGCCCGAACCAGGAGGAGGAGCAGCCTCGGCCGAAACCGTGACAGTACCCCCCCCCCCCCCTTGACGCGCGGCTCCAGCCGTGCGCCGACCCCGGCCTCGGGGACGACCAGGAGGACGCGGAGCAGGGCGCGCGGGATGGTCCCGGTGGAACTCCGACAGGAGAGATGGGTCTAGGATGTCCCTCCGGGCCGTACCCCTCCCACTCCACGAGATACTGAAGACCCCCCATCCGGCGTCTAGAGTCCAAGATGGACCGAACGGTGTACGCCGGAGCCCCCTCGATGTCCAGTGGGGGCGGAGGAGTCTCCCCTATCTCATTGTCCTGGAGTGGACCAGCTACCACCGGCCTGAGAAGAGACACATGGAACGAGGGGTTAATATTCCTATACTCAACAGGTAGATGTAATCTATAACATACCTCGTTCAATCTTCTCAGGACTTTAAAGGGCCCCACAAACCGCCGACCCAGCTTCCGGCAGGGCAGGCGGAGGGGTAGGTTTCTGGTAGAGAGCCAGACTCGATCTCCGGGTGCGTACACCGGCCCCTCACTGCGGTGGAGATCGGCGCTCGCCTTGTGACGAAGGACGGCCCGCTGCAGGTGGACGTGGGCAGCGTTCCACGTCTCTTCCGAGCGCCTCATCCAATCATCCACCGCAGGGGCCTCGATCTGGCTCTGCTGCCAAGGTGCCAGAACCGGCTGGTACCCTAACACACATTGGAAGGGGGTTTGGTTAGTAGAGGAGTGGCGGAGAGAGTTCTGGGCCATCTCGGCCCAGGGAATGTACCGTGCCCACTCCTCCGGCCGGTCCTGGCAATACGACCTCAGAAACCTACCCACATCCTGGTTGACACGTTCTACCTGCCCGTTACTCTCCGGGTGGTACCCTGAGGTAAGGCTAACCGAGACCCCCAAACGCTCCATGAACGCTCTCCAAACACGAGAGGTAAACTGGGGACCTCGATCAGACACTATATCCTCGGGTACCCCGTAATGCCGGAAGACATGGGTAAATAGGGCCTCAGCGGTCTGTAGGGCAGTAGGAAGACCCGCCATAGGGAGAAGACGACAGGCCTTAGAGAACCGGTCCACAACGACCAGGATGGTGGTATTCCCCTGAGAGAGGGGAAGGTCTGTCACAAAATCCACCGAGAGGTGGGACCATGGTCGTTGTGGAACGGGCAGGGGTTGTAACTTACCCCTGGGCAGATATTCGAAATGACCAGACGTGGTACTAAACGCTGTCTTCCATTCGTCACCCTCCCTAATGCGCACCAAGTTATATGCGCTCCTGAGATCCAGTTTTGTGAAAAACCGCGCTCCATGCAATGACTCCGTCATGGTCGCAATCAGAGGGTGGATAACTGTATTTCACAGTAATCTGATTGAGACCACGGTAATCAATGCACGGGCACAACCCTCCATCTCTCTTTTTCACAAAAAAGAAGCTTGAGGAGGCGGGAGAAGTGGAGGGCCGAATGTATCCCTGTCTCAAAGATTCGGCTATATAAGTCTCCATAGCTTTCCTCTCCTCTTGAGACAAAGGATACACATGGCTCCGTGGGAGCGCTGCTCCTGCCTGGAGATCAATCGCACAATCCCCCTGTCTATGAGGAGGCAACTGCGTCGCCCTAGTTTTACTAAACACGAGTGCTAAATCCCCATATTCAGGCGGAATGTGCAGTGCGGGCACTTGGTTTGGACTTTCCACCGAAGTCGCCCCCACGGAAACACCCAGACATCGCCCCTCGCACTGAGCAGACCACCCATCGAGAGCCCTCTGTTGCCACGAAATAGCAGGGTTATGGGTGCTTAACCAGGGAATCCCCAGCACCACTGGGTACGCAGGAGAGCCGATCAGATACAACTGTATAGTCTCCTCATGACCCCCCTGCGCACACATCCGAAGTGGCGCTGTGATCTCCCTGATCAACCCCGACCCCAACGGACGGCTGTCTAAGGCATGAACGGGAAAAGGTTGGTCAACAGGTAGGAGAGGGATCCCTAACTCAAAACAAAACTTACGATCAACAAAATTCCCAGCTGCGCCTGAATCTACTAGCGCCTTATGCTGGGAATGAGGTGCAACCTGTGGAAAACAAACAGGTATACAAAAGTGTGCAACAGAAAGCTCTGGGTAAGTGGGACGTCTACTCACCTGGGAGGCCCCCCCAGTGCGTGACCTGTTGTCGTTACTCCCGGAGAACCCTCCCCAGCACCTGGCCGTAGTGTGCCCTCCACGACCGCACTTGGTGCAGGAGACAGGCCCCCTCGGGCTCTTCCTACTCCGTTCTCTAGCGCCGGCACCCCCGAGCTCCATAGGGCTCGGCTCGGAGGTGCCGGAGGGCGGAATGGACGGACTCCCCTCGGGACGTCCACGGGTGGCCAGCAGGGTGTCCAGACGGATGGACATATCGACCAACTGGTCGAAGGTAAGATGGGTATCCCTGCAGGCCAACTCACATTGAACGTCCTCTCGTAGGCTACATCGAAAATGGTCGATGAGAGCCCGTTCACTCCACCCTGCATCCGCCGCTAGAGTCCGGTACTCTAGAGCGAACACCTGAGCGCTCCTCCTCCCCTGTCTCAAATGGACCAGACGCTCCCCCGCCGCTTTGCCCTCAGGTGGATGGTCGAACACGGCCTTGAAGCGGCGGGAGAACTCGGCGTAGGTAATGGTGTTGGCGTCCATCTTCCTCCACTCGGCGTTAGCCCACTCCAACGCCTTGCCCGTGAGACAGGAGATGAGGGCGGAAACGCTCTCGTATCCCGAGGGCACCGGGTGTACAGTGGCCAGGTAGAGCTCTACCTGCAGGAGGAACCCCTGACACCCGGCAGCTGTTCCGTCATACGCCCTCGGGAGCGAGAGCCGAATCCCCCTGGGTTCCGAACCTGGGACTGGTGGACCGACCGATGGGATGGACAGGGTAGGTGGAGGTGTGGGTACACTGCTGGCCTCCCATCGGTGCATGATGTTGATTACCTCCTGTAGAGCGGTCTCCAGGTGTCGGATCTGGTCCTCTTGCCCACGGAGATGCTCCTCGAGCGACACAGGCGTCACTGCCGATCCTGCTGATTCCATTATAGTGGTGTGTGATTCTGTCAAGGCGTGCTGAAGGTGGGTGTGGTGTAGGAATCATGCGCAGGACACAGAGGCTCAGTCCAAAGGCTTTAGTGCAATAAATATATATCCAACCGAAGCAAAATAAGCCCGAAGGCAAAATGCACGACGCACACAGGCGACAAAACGAATGACGCACAAACATGTGCAAACAACCCTCTCAAACACTGGAGGGAAAATGTAGCTCCAAAACACGAAACAGTAGTACAATCACACACAACGACAAGCACACACAACGAGAACTAAATAGGGCACTAACGAGGACTAACAAGACACAGGTGTACAACATCCAGACAAAACCAATCGAACATGAAACATAGATCGGTGGCAGCTAGTACTCCGGGGACGACGACCGCCGAAGCCTGCCCAAACCAGGAGGAGGAGCAGCCTCGGCCGAAACCGTGACAGTTCCGTGATGGGTGCGCTATTTTTGTGACAATTATCACAACTATTATTCCAGTGTTTAATGCCGCGTTCACGTCGGAAACTCGACTTGCTTACTCGTTGTAGAAAGATGATACCTGAGTTTCCCACTTGGGAACTATCAGAATCAAACAATAGGAAGCTCTACGCAAAAAAAAATCCTCGGAGGTGCCGAGTTTCCGACATGATGTGAACGCGGCATTAGTAACACTATATCTGAAGGGTACCTACATAAGGGTTTCATAAGCCGTACATAACACATTAATAAGCAATACAGTAGGTTTACATTTGTGTTACTAACCTGGCTGTGATCTCCACCACCAGCTCAGTATCATCCAGACTGAGGAAGGATTTCTTGGGAGTCAGTGTGACATTGAAAGCAGGCAGCACTGCAACAGAGCATCATGTTAGCTCCCCAGGCTTCTGCCCAGGCTTTAGCTCAACAAGTAATAATATGGATAGTGAACCATGTTGAATGACATACAGGCACGTGCACACACACACACACACACACACACACACACAGCTCTTTTACCTACCATATTTCTTCACCTCAAACTCAGTACTGAATTTGTTCTGTTGCCAGTTGTCAAATTTCGCAATGATCTTCCACATTCCCTCACTATGACACACGCACACACACAGGTATTAGCATTAGTAAACGGCAGAAGGATAGCGGTAACACTTTCTATGAACACCCTCTTCATACGGTTATCCAAGCACATTTATAACGGCTTATGAGTTATAATTGCTTATAATGACTACATTCATAGAGCATTATGACCAGGCGGCATAATGATTTATAAAGCAAAGTGTTACATATTTGAAAACTAGGCTAGAATCCTCATACTAGGCTAGAATACTCATACCAGGCTAAAATACTCATACCAGGCTAAAATACTCATACCAGGCTAGAATACTCATACCAGGCTAGAATCCGCATACCAGGCTAGAACCCTCATACAAGGCTAGAATCCTCATACCAGGCTAGAAACTTCATGATGTTCTTGACTTACTTGACTATGTCAGGCAGAACGTGAGTATCAGCAAAGATTCCATTGTTGGCTCTGGTCCTGGAGAGCTGTTTCATTACAACGCCGTCTGAATTCTGACACACACACACGCCTTAAATCGTACGCAATTTTTTATATCTAAAACATAATGAAGTGTTACTTCATATAATTTAACACATGTAGGCTAATGGCAACATTTAGCAACCTGGAACTCAATGGTGATGGAGCTGTTGAAGGCCTGGAAGGCAGGTGTAGACACAAAGGCCCTGCATCGTACTGGGGGGGGGGGGGGGGGAGAAAGAGAGAAAGGAGATCAGACAGACAAATAAAAAGAGAGAGGTCCTTCATCATTCACATGAACCTAACATGTTCTCCCTCTCTCTCTCCTTCATCCCCCTCACCAGTCTCTCCAGGGTTGTAGAGGGGCTTGTCTGTCTGGATGAAGATGTATCCAGAGTGGAAGGACACCATGACAACCTGTTCAGCTACGTGGTAGCCCCCAAACTCTGCCTTCACATACACATACTGGTTCCTGGAGGACTCCTCATTCCCCCTGTCCAGACGCTCTGAGGGGAGCTGGGAGGGGAATAATAAGAATTTTATAAGCAGATATGAGCCTTTACAATGTCTTGGAGGTTGACTCAAAATGGCAGTTATTTATTCTGGATCATTAAGAGATTATAATAAGGTATTATTAGGGGGATATACATACTCACAACAAGTCTTACAAGTATATCATAAAGTAAAAGGGTTGGCATTCTATTATTCCTCCGGGCGTATCTATAGTGCTAAATCATTATCTCTTTATCTCTGTCCCTTATCAGATATATAGAGCTACTAAATCATTATCTCTGACCCTTATCAGATATATAGAGCTCCTAAATCATTATCTCTTTATCTCTGTCCCTTATCAGATATATAGAGCTCCTAAATCATTATGTCATTATCTCTGTCCCTTATCAGATATATAGTGCTCCTGAATCATTATCTCTTTATCTCTGTCCCTTATCAGACAGAGCTCCTAAATCATTATCTCTGTCCATTATCAAACCTACAGAGCTCCTAAAACATTATCTCTGTCCCTTATCAGATGTATAGAGCTCCTAAATCATTATCTCTTTATCCCTCATCAGACCTAGAGCTCCTGAATAATGATATCTTTATCTTTGTCCCTTATCAGAGGGTTCAATATGTCAAATCGGAGGGCCTGTTGTCTGGACCTATGGCAGTCTCTATGGGGGTGCCACAGGGTTCAATTCTTGGGCCGACTCTTTTCTCCGTGTATATCAATGATGTCGCTCTTGCTGCTGGTGACTCTCAGATCCACCTCTACGCAGACGACACCATTTTGTATACATCTGGCCCTTCATTGGACACTGTGTTAACAAACCTCCAAACAAGCTTCAATGCCATACAACACTCCATCAGTAGCCTCCAACTGCTCTTAAACACTAGTAAAACTAAATGCATGCTCTTCAATCGAACGCTGCTTGCACCCGCCCACCTGACTAGAATCACTACTCTCAACGGGTCTGACCTAGAGTATGTGGACAACTACAAATACCTAGGTATCTGGTTAGACTGTAAACTCTCCTTCCAGACTCACATTAAGCATCTCCAATCCAAAGTTACATCTAGAATCGGCTTCCTATTTCGCAAAAAAGCCTCCTTCACTCATGCTGCCAAACATGCCCTCGTAAAACTGACTATCCTACCGATCCTTGACTTTGGCGATGTCATTTACAAAATAGCCTCCAACACTCTACTCAGCAAATTGGATGTAGTCTATCACAGTGCCATCCGTTTTGTCACCAAAGCCCCATATACTACCCACCACTGTGACCTGTACGCTCTTGTTGGCTGGTCCTCACTACATATTCGTCGCCAAACCCACTGGCTCCAGGCCATCTATAAATCACTGCTAGGCAAAACTCCTGCCTTATCTTAGCTCATTGGTCACCATAGCAACACCTGGTCACCATAGCAACACCCACCCGTAGTATGCGCTCCAGCAGGTATATCTCACTGGTCATCCCCAAAGCCAACACCTCCTTTGGCCGCCATTCCTTCCAGTTCTCTGCTGCCAATGACTGGAACGAATTGCAAGAATCTCTGAAGCTGGAGACTCTTATTTCCCTCACTAACTTTAAGCATCAGTTGTCAGAGCAGCTTACTGATCACTGCACCTGTACACAGCCCATCTGAAATTAGCCCACCCAACTACCTCATCCCAATATTGTTATTTATTTTGCTCATTTGCACCCCAGTATCTCTATTTGCACATCATCTCTTGCACATCTATCTTTCCAGTGTTAATACTAATTGTAATTATTTTGCACTATGGCCTATTTATTGCCTTACCTCCATAACTTGCTACATTTGAACACACTGTATATATATTTTCTGTTGTATTTTTGACTTTGTTTTGTTTTACCCCATATGTAACTCTGTGTTGTTGTTTTTATCGCACTGCTTTGCTTTATCTTGGCCAGGTCGCAGTTGTAAATGAGAACTTGTTCTCAACTGGCTTACCTGGTTAAATAAAAAATCTGATCATCTGCATGGTCTTGATGGTGTGGTAGCTGTTCCTCATTCCCTCTCCACTTTTATCTATAGCACTACAGCCACCTGAATTGCTCCCGAGGCGATAAATAACATTGAATTGAATCAAATCACCTTTATGGTCTTCAGGGTGTGGTGAATTGAACTGAATCACCTGTATGGTCTTGAGGGTGTGGTGAATTGAACTGAATCTAATGGAATCACCTGTATGGTCTTGAGGGTGTGGTGAATTGAACTGAATCTAATGGAATCACCTGTATGGTCTTGAGGGTGTGGTGAATTGAACTGAATCTAATGGAATCACCTGTATGGTCTTGAGGGTGTGGTAGCCGTTCCCCGGGCCGAGTGTGATAGTGTCCTGCAGGAGCTGGTAACTCCTGGCCGGGAAGTCATGGACTGTTATGGTGACGGTGACAGGGCTGTTGAGGCCATGGGACTCTAGGTAGATAGCCTCCTCACTGTCTGCTCTCAGGAGGTTAGGGGCTAGGAGGATGAACCTGGGGTAAGGGATGGGAGGGATTGAAGGGGGGAGAGGGGGAGAAGAGAGGAGGGATGAGAGGGGAGGGGAGAGGAGAGAGAAAGGCAAACTGACATACATACAGTAGAGTAGTATTTAGCAACCAAAGGGGGGGATTTTGTGTTTATCTGGATACTTTTGGGAACACTGTACCTTGGTTCTGGACTGGTTTGGTCCATTGGATTTATGTCACTGTAAATAAATGTGTTGTTTTTTCCTTTAATGCCAACATTTGGTAGCACAACATGGAGGTTCAACAAGGTATAAAAAAAATCTGTACTTACTCATGAAGACCAAAATACATGTCAGGGTCCATATATTGAAATCTGAATGGGCACATTGAGTGTTACATACATTTCAGAAAACTGCAATTGTTCTTATTTATCATTATGATTACATATTGCATTTAAGTGTTATTGTGAATTATGAATATAGTGAATATTTAGATTTGGGCTGAATTATAATGAATAGAATTAGAATTTTGAAGAGATAATAATCATAGACCCGACCGGCGGCGATCCCATGGACCCAGTCGACCCCTAAAAAGTAGAAATAGATCTGTTATGAGTTAAGTCAGGGAGTACAGTTTAAAACAGCCCAGAAGTACATAAAAAAAATATTTTAGTATTTTGACAATTAGTCCACGGTGTAATATACAACCCCAAGAAATCGTGCCAGTCAGCAGTCAAGTTTAAGAAAGGGTGCTTTTAGTAGAGAGCAACAACTTAGTAGGCTCTAGAACTTACCGTTCTCGGGATGGGTTGTTGAATATTTGGGCACAACAGCTATAGAAAACGCAAAGCAACAAAATGTGGAGCAGTGCTCCTGCCGCCATCCTGAGTGTATGTAGCTAAACTCTCATGACATTGGGGACAGAACGCTTTCGCACAGAGACAAGTACACTCCCCCTCAGATCCCAACCCCCAAAGTGTGATATTTTGGCTGACTATATTCAAACAATACAAATCCCTTTCTTTTTATATGGTGAATACAATTGCTAACCAAAGGCAGCTAACTTCACACGAGGTCGGTTGCCTTTGTAATCCTGTAACATACCCCCCAAAAGTATTCCTCCTCTGTGTGTGTGTAGCAAAGATAGAGAACATTCACATTTCCAATATGAATCATACATCACTGGGATACATGGCTGTTCATTATTGTCAAAGTTAACTTGATCATGGCTTATTGTTTCTATAAAGAAAATACAAAAACGACATTGATTTACAGCGAGACCCACAGAGGACCAGATATTTATCAAATGAAATGTACATGTATTTCCAAGAGCAACGTGGACGTACACTGCATATCAGAGGACTGTCTTCATCAATGACATTCGCATAATCACTAACAGTGACGTCTGTATAATACACGACTTCTACACAAATCAATAAAATTGGAAAATAACTTTGTCCTTGGTTATTCATGGTGAAAAAAATTCCAGTCACACACTTTCAGTGTTGTTAATACATACCTTCAGTCCCGCACACATTTTGCCCATAGAGCAAACTGACTTTTAGGCTGGTTACACCAGACTGAATGCAGAGCTCACCATTGCTTCAATACACATAGAAAGTGGGTACACATGGATGCGCATCACAATGGTAAAATATAAACAAAACTGGAGACACCCTAGTCATTTTTAATACAATCTATTGACACGGAAGCACTACTGTACCTAGCAAAATAGTGTAGCAGCGATTGCTAACTGTAAACAATTTTAGCAGGCTAGCTTATAATTTTGGCTAACTATGGGGCAAAACCAGTCACAAATGTACTGTTAATTAGCCACCGCAAAATCTATTTTGCTAGCAAACACTGGAAGGGGTCTCTAGTAACTTTTGGACGTTCTATGACATCTCCACTTTCCAGTCATATTGAGCACAGCTTTCAGTATGGTTTAACCAGGCTAAAGGTCTTGTTTCTCTACTCTAACACAAAGTCAATAGTCGATCCTCATACACCTAGGTATGGCTTCAGGGTGAAGTTTGCCCTAGGTACAGATCTAGGATCAGATTCCCCTCCCCCAACCTTAACCATTAGTGGGGGAATTGCAAAACTGACTCAAGATCAGTGTCTAGGGGCAACTTCACCCTACACCCCTGAGTCGGAGGAGGAGTCGCTGTAGTCCGCAACCAGCGACGTCCTCAACACCCCAGAGCGACTACTGTCAAGTTCCTCCAGCACTGTCCCAGAATCCTCTCCTTTCGATCGTCCTCTGTCCTCTTCTTCTGTGGTGGTGTTAGGACTCTGCATCTCCAGAGATCTCATGTGAGTTCCCACCATTTCCTGTCCCTGCTCGGACTGTGCAACTCCCAAATCTGTCCCCCCAGTCGTTTGTGTTTGTGCAACATCTAATTCCATCCCTTCCGGCGACAGACTGTTTCCTAGATCATTGGTTCCTGGGTCTGATTTCCTGCGTGTGACTGTAGCGCAGGCCTCTGGTTTGTTCCCAGAGCCCTCGGTCCTCCTGTGGATAACCAAACACACACTATCAATCAACTGTGTAGCAAATATGGTGAACCCACTGCAACAGGTTAGCACAACAAAAAGGTGGCTTAGGTTACATAAACATTACTGGGCCTGTTTTCATAAAGCGTTTCAGTGTCAAATCAAATCAAATTCTATTTGTCACATGAACCGAATACAACAGGTGTAGACTTTACCGTGAAAAGCTTACTTACGAGCCCTTAACCAACAATGCAGTTCAAGAAATATTTACTAAATAAACTAAAGAATGTAATAAAAAGTAACATAAAATAACGAGGCTATTTACAGGTGGTACCGGTACAGAGTCAATATGCAGGGGTACAGGATAGTCGAGGTAATTTGTACATGTAGGTAGGGGTAAAGTGACTATGCATAGATAATAAACAGTGAATAGCAGCAGTGTAAAAACTAAACAAAAAGGTGGGGAGGGTCACCCTTGTCCATGTCATCTTATTCATTATGATCTAAAAGGGAAAACTGATTCATACCTTATGATGTTGATAGACCCACTACCATTCATGTAAATTGTAAAGTCTTTTGACAGTGATGTCTATTTAGTTGTGTGTTGGGCCCAAGGAAGATTAGCTGTCGTCGTTGGCGTCAGCTAATGGGGAAATTCTAATTAATCCATTCTTTCATTCATTGACCTACCTCCTTATGAGACTGTGTGGGTTAGGGGAGGAGGCTAGGGGACCCAGGGCTTTGGCCACAGCTGTGCCTTTCCCCTGTAGGCCCAGCTTGTGGAGTAGGCTGCCTGCAGCGCTCCCTGGTGGCAGAGTGGGGGAACTGAACCAGGAGCGGCTAGAGATCTCCTTCCGCTTGTAGTTCTGTCTGTCATCGTAGGCTAGAGGAAGTGGATGAGGGGAGGAGGAGAGATGGTGTTTCTTCATGAAAAAGTAGTGTGTGTTTGCCTGGGATATAGTGTGTGTGAACAGTGTGTGAGAGAAAGTCTGGTTTAGAGTGCATTATTATTCTGTGTGTGTGTGTGTACGTGCCCACTTACAGTCAGGAGCTGTGTAGGTGAGCAGTGCTGCTAGTTTCTTGTCCTCCTCTTTCTCAGGCAGCAGAGGGATGGACAGATTTGTCCTCTTTCTCACCGCGTTGTCTTTCTCCTCCTCCTCCGCCATCACTTTCTTCTCAGTCTGCGTATTAAATCAGAGTTAACGGTTAGTCAGGAGGCCTAAAGACAGACCTACACCTATCCACCTCTTTTACAGAACTTATATGCTATTCATTTATGCGAGTCCATTTGAGATACATCTCTTTTACAAACGGGCTTCTCGCATCTTCGCCGCCTTTTAAACCATACTGGAGGGAAAAACTCCAAGGTCCCTCCACACTGACCTATTACTCCAATGCATTTTAAGGAGGCAAGGAGATAGTATTTCCTTGATTCCTCATATCCTATTTGACAAAGAGGCCTAGTAATACCATGGGAGAATCCCAATCATATATCCATCCTCCTGAAGTGTGCACTCGTTCACTACCCACCACAAATGTAAAAGCATTGGATTGGTGTAGTCATGGGCTAGAGGGAGGTTCTTATAACTGTCATTTCCTGTCAAATTCAAGAAGGGAAGTGAACAAGTGTACACTTCAGGAGAAGAGTAGAGAATCTAAATGTGGCCTCTGAGTGCAGTGCAGTTACCCTGAACTTCCTGCGGAGCTTGCTGTTGAGTATGAAGTCGTCCTTCCATCCAGCCTGGTGATCCTGCAGCTCAGACAGAGAGGGAAGAGCCTTCCTCAGCTTTTCCTTGTCCTTACCACCGTGGTCCAGCTTATACATGGGGTCTGTCTCTAACTTCTCCTTCTCACTACGCTCTGGGGGGGAGAGGAGGGATGGGAAAGGGGGGGGGGGGAGAGAGGGAAATAAGTGGGGTAGGTGTAAGGTGAGAAAGAAGAACAAGAGAGAGAGATAAAGAGGGAAGAAAATAAGGAATAAATTAACTTTTGTCAATTGTGCCATTGTTGGAAGGGAATAGGCATCCATTTTTTGTTTTGGGGTTTGAAGTATTAAAGAATGAGAGGTCACTAAAAGGTCTCTGAGAGGTCAAATGTAATTAGTTGCCAGTGGTGAGGATGTTCGTTATCGGCCATGTCCCATCCTTCCTCTTACACCCACCTAACAGAACGTAAGGTCAATGAGAGGGAACTTAGTTACCTGTAGTGAGGATCTGTTCATTGTCAGCCATGTCCCATCTCTCCTCCTTCCTCTGAGCCCCACAGACGATGACGTAATCACAGGTGGCCGGGTCCGTCTGCATCTCAATGTAGTTCACACAAAGGTGACACTTCATCCGGAACCTGAAGAGGAGCACACAGGCAAACACACAGATGTATTTATTGGCCTTCAGTGTGTGTGTGTGTGTGTGTGTGAGATTGAGATGTGTCTGGTCTTACCTGTAGATTGGTGTGGTGTAGTAGTTCCCCACTTTCTTCTTCTCAGCGTTGTAACGTACACCTGATTGACCAAAATTATGTTAATGAAAAAGGAAAACATATAGCAACATGCTGGAAAACTGAGAATGGAAGAGAGAGCGAGAGAGCTTACCCATGCCGATGTGATTCTTGCAGCCATCACACCAGATATTATAGGGCATCTCAAACCTGGGAAAATACATAGAGAGTCAGTTTCCTGTAACCCATCAAACTACTGACTTTGATGTGTGTGTCTGTGTTACTGACCGGATGATGAGGATACCCTGGGACAGTTTCCTGGCCCTCTCTCGTAGAGCGTGGGTTCCATGGTAGCCATTGAGGGAGCCATGCTAGAGAGAGGGAGGGGAAGAGATGGGGGAAGAAATGGGGGGGGGGAAGGGAGAGAGGGAGGGAGAAAGAGAAAGTGAGAAAAAAAGAGTCAGAGTGTGGGGAAGACAAAGAGAGAGAACAGGTTAAAAGAGGCTCACGTGTAGGATTATATGTATTAACCTATCACTCATCTATTATTATATGTGATGATGGTAGTGGTCATATTTACCTTCTGTGGGTCGAAGTCTGGAGGGTAGTAATGGTTTTGTCCTTTCCTCTCACCCTGAGAAAGTAGACATGGAAAAGGAGGCAAATGTGAACATTGTTACGTTACAATAAGATATTTGGTTTTCTTACATGGATAAGGGAAAGGGGAAATACCTAGTCAGTATTCAACGCACTAGTAGCTAACAGTGTCCTTGGAAAATTAGCTATTTTGTCCACCACTGGTGGCACCATGTTTTCCCTACATGGATAAGGGGAAGGGGGAATAACTAGTCAGTTGTACAACTGAATGCATTCAACCGAAATGTGTCTCCCGCATTTAACCCAACCCCTCTGAATCAGAGAGGTTCTGCCTTTAACCGACATCCACGTCATCGGCGCCCGGGGAACAGTTGTTGTTGGGGGTTAACTGCCTTGCTCAAGGGCAGAACGTCAGATATTTCCACCTTGCCGGCTAGGGGATTCGAAACAGCGACCTTCCGGTTGCTGGCCCAACGCTCTTAACCGCTAGGCTACCTGCCGCCCCAGTGGGGCTTCCACACGGAGGAAACCTGGCGCCAACAGTGGTTGGACAAATACTAAAAGAGCAAATTTCCCAAGGAAACTAATGTTAGTTACTAGCATGATGAACACATTTTGATGTAGTCTGGCAACTTACCATGTTGTTAGCTTGTACAGCGCACTAGCGGATAGCCTTTGTCACCTACGGGAGAAAGCACAGGGTCTTAGCTTCGTTTATGCGTTTACAAATGTTTGCACACCGTGAAGTTAGCCATTAACTTAGACGTTTGAAATAATAGCTAGCTTATTTGCTAGGACAACTGCTAGCATAGCTAACTAGCTCACGCTACCATCTTGAATAACAAGCAAACCAAAAGTCTTAGGAGGGTAACAGGAGAAGTGTTCCCATATTTAAAACGAATTGTAACCTAAAATAAATGTTTTCGAAATAAAACAATTGAGATATCACAAAGTAGCGTGCTCCTTACTGTTTTCCAAAGCATTAGCTAGCGGGACAACAGTGCGTACACAAAAACGTCACTTCCGTTTTGTTAGGAACGTCACACATTGGGGTCTGCTTTTTTATCGTCTCTGATTAATTGCGCTTGTACAAAGACTTTTACTTTTTGTGAAGATATTTTCGTATAATTATTTTTGTACCCCAAGACCCATTGGAAAAGTCCACAACTATGACAATTCCCCTTTTTACCTCCCTCCTCTGTTGCAACTTGTTATGATGAAAACCAGAGTGCCCCTCAAAGTGAAGGAGCATGGGCAGTCAGGAGAGAGGCCAAGACTCCTGGATAATATCAACATAACTCAGTCAGCATAGGCCTATCACACATGGTACTGGACTCTGGACCAACCTCAGACTGTGTGTGTCTGCCAGGGGGGTTAGAACTAGAGTTTTGACCTGATGGATGTGCCAGAGGCGTGAGGGATACCCACTGCAGGTGTCTCCCTTAACAGAGAGAAGAAACGGTCTGGCAGGTAATGGGAAAATACATTCTCTCCATAATCATTCTATTCTGGGTCTTGGTCTGACCTGGGTCAAATACAGTATGCCTAGGTCCATTTACATGACCATGATTGAACCGGACTGTCTCTCCAGCTTTGAAAGGAACTTTTTGAGTTGCACATATCTCTGAATATGAAAATGATTACAAAAGTTGCTTTTTAGGCTACTGACTTCTGTGTCAATTTGTATCTGCCCCTCACTCTCACTGTTTTCCTTTTTAATAAAGCAATGACTACATTGGAAGAAAAGAGGCATGGCCAGAGAAGAGGTCTGGGAAAAGAGGGATGGGCTACTGTCTATCAAGGATCAGGTGATTAGGTAAGGAATGGAAGGGCGAGATCAGGGATACAGCAAGAAGGATGGAGAGAGAGAGGGAGGGAGGGATGGATGGAGAAAGTGAGAGGGAGGGAGGGATGGAGATGCTGTGGGTGGAAGGAGGGAGGGATCAGGGATAGAGCGAGACTCAAAAAGGATGGATGGAGAAAGAGATGCTCAGGGTGGATGGAGGGGGGAATGGAGACAGAGAACGAGATGCTCGGGGCAGGTGTCTGTCTGATCCAGATTTACAGCATTCCGAAGTTTGATATTCTGTGGCATTGAGTTTGACATTCCGTGGATAAATCCCCTTAAAATGCTTCCCGTTACAGGAACGCTGCTCCCTTCTAACATTCCTGCCCGGCACAGACAGACAAGCCCTATATGGGCTGACCCGGAGAGACCAGCCCTCTCCGCGGTCCAACCACCGCCAGGAATGCACAAGCCAGCAATGCTCAGGAAGAGACATCGATCTGACCTGTCTGTCTATCAGTCTGCTCGTCCCATGGATCCATCCCTTCATCCGTCAATCAGTACGTCTCTATCACTCTAACAGTCTGTCCAATGGATCCCTCCTTGATCTAGGCCAGGGGTGTCAAACGTACGGCCCGCGGGCCGGATCAGGCCCGCAAACGGGTTTAATCCGGCACGCGAGATAATTTTGAAAAAAAAAAAATATATATATATATATATATATTTTTTTTTTTAAGTATAAAAATGCGCTGCAATTCTTCAATAAAATAAACTGCTGTTCCAATTGCGTCCACTGGATGGCGCAATAGCAATTGTGTTAAGCAAGCAAACTGTTTATACCGGGGCAGAGCAAGTAGGTCAAGCACATGCAGCCAATGAGCTACTTTGTTTTGCCCGCGATATTTATTACGGCTTCTACTTTTAACATTATGTGCTTTGGCACCCTCATTGCCCCAATATGTCTCTGTCAAAAAAGAGAAAAGTGGACGCAGAGTGCAGAGTGTTCCAAGAAAAATGGTCATCCTATTTAATCACGGAATTGAATGGGAAAGCTGTATGTTTGGTGTGTTCAGAGCATGTTGCAGTGCTGAAATAATATAACCTTTGTCGCCACTATGTGAGTCTTCATGCCGACAAATATGACAACTTTCAAGGACAGCGGAGATGAGAGAAGGTGAATGAACTGTTAGCGGGTCTGAAGAAACCGCAGTCTGTGTTTACTCACAGCCGAGACATCAGTGACGCTGCAGTGAAAGCTAGCTACCTAATTGCTAATGAAATCGCAGTGGCTTCAAAACCATTTAGTGAGGGTGAATTTGTAAAAACATGCATGATGAAGGCAGCGGAGATTGTGTGCCCTGAAAAGCGGCAGGCTTTTGCAAATATCAGCCTGACAAGAAACACAGTTGCAGACAGGATTTCCGATCTTTCAGCGGATTTGGACAGCCAGTTGAAGCAAAAAGTAAAGTCATTTATTGCGTTTTCGGTTGCAATTGATGAAAGCACGGACATTACAGATGTTGCACAACTGGCAATTTTTTCATCCGCGGAGTTGATGACACATTGACCGTCACCGAGGAGTTCGTGGAGTTGGTGCCGATGACAGATACAACGACAGCAGCTGATATTTTTACCGCACTGGTCGGCGCGCTGGACAGGGTCGGAGTGGACTGGTCCCGCGCTGTCAGCCTGGCTACAGATGGTGCGCCCTCAATGATCGGGAAAAAAGCAGGCGTTGTGACAAAGTTCAGAGAGAAAGTGCAATCTGCAAATGGAGGACGTGATTTTTTGACTTTTCACTGTATTTTGCACCAGGAGGCTTTGTGTTGCAAGTCATTAAAGATGGATAACGTCATGAAGGTGGTCATCCAAACTGTTAATTTCATCCGATCCAGAAGCCTGAATCACCGTCAGTTTGACAGCCTTCTCAGAGAGAAAGACCACATCTATGGCCTGCCATACCACACTGAGGTAAGATGGTTAAGCCGAGGTGCTGTGCTGAGGCGTTTCTTTGATTTACGAGAAGAAATTGAACAGTTCATGGAAGAAAAGGGCAAACCAGTGTTAGAATTTCATTCCGCAGAATGGATGCCAGACCTTGCATTTATGGTGGATGTTACAGAGCACCTGAATAACTTGAACAAACAGCTGCAAGGGCGCAACAAAGTTGTCACGCAGTATTATGACAGCATACGTTCTTTCAAGTTGAAGCTGTCATTGTGGGAGACGCAACTTGCCGGTGGTGATGCAGCTCACTTCCCCTGTCTGAAAAATGTGTGCGCGACCCAACATGTGGCAGACATGAAGCGGTTCAAAGATAAAATAACTGGACTGTTACGGGAGTTTGAGCAACGCTTTCAGATTTATGTTTATATGTTTTTATGTTGATGTGCTATTGTTTTTAATTGTTTTTATTTTATCTGTATATTTAACCTATTCTTGACTCTGTGGTTCTTGCACTTGTTTGGGGAACAGGATTTCATTATTTTTATCTACATTTCTGCCTGAGAAATGACACCCTGATATAGTTCTGTGATCTGTGAAACAGTTCTGTTAATCACTGAGGCATTGTGTGTTTGTGTGTTCTTTTTCTTTAGAATTTTCAAATAAACTTGACGTGTTTTATGATTAATAGTGATGTTGTGCTTGTACTATTTTGGACACACTGTCCTCAGGCTCCAGCTTTATGTTGTATGTTGATCGTATTAAAACAAAGAAAACAATCTGAAGTTGTTGTTTTTAAGTTATATATACCATGATTTTTCCGGTCCGGCCCACTTGGGAATAGATTTTCCTCCATGTGGCCCCTGAGCTAAAATGAGTTTGACACCCCTGATCTAGGCCTAGATGTGCCTATCACTCTATCAGTGGGACATCTCAGAGAGTGATATGTCTATTGCCAGGAATACACAGACAGCAACCTCAGGAATAGTTGGAGCTCTCTCCTAAACCGGTAAAAGCCGTTACAGAGTAGGATAAGTTTCCCCTAGTCATGGTCAGTTTAGCATATTTTTCCCTTAACGATCTAAGTTAGCAGGCCATGTTAGGGTGGTGTTAGCTCAGCTGGTCCTAGAACTGTGCTTAGAGAGCCTGCTGCACCATCGAACAACACTTTGAGCCCATCAGACAGAGACAGGCAGACTCTGAACCCTTCCAAGAGAGTTCATCTTTATTTACTGCTCTACACCAAACGTTAGGAGAAGAGATTTGAAACAAATGTGTTTCCACTGATCCCTACAGGGCCTGATCCAGTTGTGTTTTGAAACTGGGCCAAGCAGCAGTCTGGTAGAGCTGCAGAGGGAAGGACTGCTCTGAGATCAGTTGAAGTAAGTTTCTCTGAGTGAGACTGATCCAGGGTGGCATTATCTGGTATTGATGGGCTACGTAAGGTAGAGGATGGACACAAGGTAGCCAATGCGCAATGCTCAACATTGTTATCAGACATTTCTACAGTGCACAATTAGTAACACCATCAACCATTGGCCAGGTGGAAGGAATAAGGATATGACACTGCAGTGACTGGCCATCCTAGATGCTTTGTGATGAAGGCATCATGTCGAATCAGGATGACCGCCGTTTAACTCAGAGCTCTCTCTCCAGGTGAGACATCAGCACTCTGGATAAGAGACGGAATACAGAAAGAAGCTCGGTATTCCGAGCGGAGTGATCGGAATACACATTCATCTTCCGGTTAATCCTCTCGGAAAACAGGGAGAGTGAGAGGGCAAAGGGCCTGACACATTCCTTCCACCTCCCGCCCGGAGAAAGGGATGAAGATGGATAGAGAGAGAGGGAGGAGAAGGAGGAGGAGGGATACAGTGATAGAACAATCCTCTTGGAATTTCTCTTGAAGATATGCTCTGGAATTTAAAGCTGTCTCAGGTAGAGAGAGATGGGAAGAATCTGACAACAGTGTCATGTATGGAAAAATAACTCATATAGGCCTGTACAGACAATGGTGTATCATGCATATAGTATGAAACAAATGCATATTACACTTAATCTTTCACATAGGGTATTTGGAAATGATCACTTTTAGTCCAGGAAGGCCATGGAGTCAGCTAGGTTTGATTGACAAATGTCTCGGCTGCTTGTTTGAATACCAGAAGGTAAAAAGACAGCAACCAGCGGACGACAATGTCTTTGAGTGTTGTCTGTGTCTGTGCTCGTTATCAGTATAGAAAAGTGGACACATGGTTTTCCGTAACCATGCTCACTCACAGAATTTTTCCCTCTGAATTGTAGGCCAAGTCACTGTCTATACCATGTGCCATTCTCTAGCTGTGGACATCTACACATTCCTGCACGGTCAGCATGTTCAATCCCAAAGCCTCTCAAGACTTCCTAATTCTATCGCCACTGATTCCAAACATACTGTACCATAAATACATCAGATTGCATCTGATCGTACTTCTGATTTTCTGCCTTACTTTAGCTGTTACTGAGGTATTCTCCCTCCCCTGGCCTAGTGCTACACTACAAACAGTAGACCTACCATCACACCTTAGCTGTTACTGAGGTATTCTCCCTCCCCTGGCCTAGTGCTACACTACATACAGTAGACCTAGCATCACACCTTAGCTGTTACTGAGGTATTCTCCCTCCCCTGGCCTAGTGCTACACTACATACAGTAGACCTAGCATCACACCTTAGCTGTTACTGAGGTATTCTCCCTCCCCTGGCCTAGTGCTACACTACAGTAGACCTAGCATCACACCTTAGCTGTTACTGAGGTATTCTCCCTCCCCTGGCCTAGTGCTACACTACATACAGTAGACCTAGCATCACACCTTAGAAGCCCAATGCATGCAATTTCTTGCATGGTGTTATCAGAAAGTCTGTTTTTTTTGGTAATACGACCGGAAGCGTTCTTACTAATTGCGTGCCATATATTTACCTCGCCTTAAATCACGTAAAGAATTTCTCCGGGTAGAGGAGGATGGAGAGATGTGGAGCGGAGAAGACTGAAGATGTATAATGTGTAGGTTTGACAGGAGCTATGTTTAACCCTTAAACAGTCTGTCTCTCTCTTCAGAGGCAGGAGAGGGCTTAGAGCTGTATCAAGCCTGACCTGGAGCTGCTGTTACAGAGATAAAAACTCATGTATTGCTATGTACAGTATGTCATCATGAATACAGAACATGAATCGTACTGAGAGATGCAGGGACAGGTAAGTTAGGTAAAGTGATGGCGGATGCTGATGATGGAAAGAGAGAAAAAGTGAAGAGTGGAATCGACTCACTCGTTTTGTCACTGTTGATGATCAGGATGTTCACCTAATGAGAAATGATCAGTCATACGGTCTGTGAGGAATTAAAGACTTCATTGAGAGTTTAGACAAGAGACTTGAACGCATATCCTCAAACATCAATTTATTAGCTTCACTTTCCCAAGAGGAGGGTTAGTCACCAGTTATATGTGGTTTATTTACATTACACAATGGTCAGCAGCATCAAATCATTATGAAAGCTTTTATCAGTCTGAAAGCTTATTGTCTGAGTTGGTCACTGAATAAACCCTCTGAATAACTGCAGTCTGACACGCATGCACACATACGCGCACACACACACACACACACACACACATACGCGCACACACACACACACACACACACGCGCACACACACACACGCGCACACACACACACACGCGCACACACAAGCAGAGAGAGAGAGCTCTATGGGCAGGTGTGTGTCAGTCAGTACCTGTAACATGGAAAAACACTGGGCGCCCAAACCGTCTTTTCACAATCACAACCAAATAAGCCTATGGGCGGATGAAAGCATGTAGTCTAGGCCTAATATGACATTGTATCAAGATGACATCAGCGTTCATTCCTTCTCTTTTGTGTGTGTGTGTTTGCACGTGTGTGTGTGTGTGTGTGTTAGAGAGCCAGATGGGCAGGGTTTGGGGTTTCTATTCCATTGGCAATCTCAATCAAGCCCAGCTAAAGTATTTCAAATGATTTCAAATAGTTTTTGAACCCAGGTCTGATAATGTTACCTGACAAGCCCACATTTCCAACGAAATCCCTGAATTTATGGAAGAAGTTACCGAAGATCTCAGAATCTCAGTCGCCAGTCTCGGAATGTCCATTAAAATATCTCCTGTCATGTTTTTTTTTCCTTCTCTTTTTCAATTACGACCATCCCATCCCTCTTTAATTTTAACTCTTTCTTTGCTGGCCCGAAAGAGACAGAAATGCATTCTTCGTTTTTGTGTCTAATTTGAACATTGACCTGGTGGACTTTTGTCTTAACTGTCTCTTTTTCTTTGTCCTCAAGTCAATGTCCTTCCCCCAAGTCTTCTCTTTCTATTACACACTCTCTCTCTCTCTCTCTCTCTTTCTGCTTCCTCTCTCTCTCTCTCTCTCTGCTTCCTCTTTCTCTCTCTCTCTGCTTCCTCTCTCTCTCTCTGCTTCCTCTTTCTCTCTCTCTGCTTTCTCTCTCTCTCTCTTGCTCTGCTTCCTCTCTCTCTCTCTCTCTCTCTCTCTCTCTCTCTCTCCCTCTCCATCTGTTCGTGGTAGTTCTGCTTAGCATCAATGCCAACCAACTCAACCTCTGACCAGCCTAGCCCGCCACTCAACTTCAAAACAGCTTTAAGTTATTAGCCTCCAGATTTCATTTTTCCCATGAAGCAGCCTTTGCATCCATCGGAAAACACCTGGGCTGGGGACCTCAGAACTAAATTTATACCTGTTAAGTATAATCCCAATATGACACATTTCTAGGTCAAACACCCATCCAACAATCAAACCGCTAACCGTCGAAACTCAAGTGAGTCTACGGGTTTGGCGCTTTAGCGAGGAACGGGTTAGTGTACCCCCCTCCGTTTCATCCCCCCCATCCTGTCTCATCCCCCCTTCTTTTCGGAGGGATATATAATGGAGGTTGTGACTCTGTTGCATCTCAGCATCACTCGTGGACACTCATCCATTGTTCACTCGTTTACTTAGAGAGAAAGAAGGATAAACAAAAGAGAAGAGGGTAGATATGAGGTCTCTACTGAAGCTGGTTGTTCTGCTGCTCTGTGTCCAGAGAGGAGAGGGACACTGGCTGCGCTCACTACTCGGTAAGGACGGATGGGGGTCACGACTCACGACCTTTGACATTAGAGATAAGACACTGGGACAGGATAGAATTTCTTCCTATTTTAATCAGTTTTGTACTGGGTTATATGTATCTAGATATTGTTGTGTACTTTAAAGATGCGGTTTGCTTTGAGATTGGTTTACATCAGGATGATGTCTGACACTGGAGTGACAAGGCATACACAGTCACTGGAGAATTTTGAGAGCATTTTAAGTGATTTCTGTTCTGAAGTTTTTCTGTAGATATCAGTCTACTTGCAGTCTATAGTGTAATGATATCTGGTCCAAGTTGGTGTGTTGAGTGTTTTAATAACCCTCTATCTTTCTTTCTCTCTCTTTCTCTCCATCTTTCAGAGCAGCGAGGGCAAGCATCATCCCCCCCATCAGAGGAGAGGAGAGGTGGAGGAGAATCCAACAAAGAGAACGACAACAATAAGAACACAGAAGGTTCCGGATTCGGAATAGAAGACCAAAGGGGTTCCGTCCCATCCCCAGCCCCAATCATCCCAATCCGGTCCCGCCGCTCTTCAACCCAATGTGGTCTCCGCTCCATCCTCCTCCAGGTACGAGACCTGGGTCTGGGCTACGACGCGGACGAGACCGTCCTCTTCAAGTACTGCAGCGGAGCCTGTCCCCGTGTCCGCTCCAACCATGATCTGACCCTGACCAACCTGCTCCTGAGGGGGGCCCTGCCTGAGCAGAATGAGGAGCTGTGGCAGAATGGACCATGCTGCAGGCCCACCCACCACCAAGATCTGGCCTTTTTGGATAACGCCCATCGCTGGCACAAGGTGGAGAAGCTGTCGGCTGCAGGGTGTACCTGTGTGGGTTAATGGGGAAGAGCTGGACGTGAAGGGGGAGGGACAGGGACTGAACATTCACTTTTGGGCCGTGGCAATTGGCTGTTCAGAATGCAATGGGCGAAGCGTAGAAGCTCAGCTGTGCTGTAAAAGCGTAATTGAGATCCAGGAGGAAAGAGATTACAGATGTAGCTATTATTTGCTAGAAAGAAATGCATTCATATGCATATGTATATTTATAGTTATTTAAAGTGGCTTTGGGGAGTTTTTTGACCAATGACAAGAATGGATCTTATTTTGCTGCATAGATTAATTAATGGTGGTTAACACTATGGTTGATTGTTGAGGAAAATTGTTACAATTCGGAAAAAAAGGTCCTCAGCAAACCAACAAGGTATTTATGTAAAATAAATTATTTATTTATTTGAGATGATTCCTGTATGATGCTACTTAATTTATTTTGTCCTTGTGCCATGTTCATATGTACATCTCTTAATAAAGACAACCTTATCTACATGTTTTATGACCAATGTTGATGAGTGATATTACATTTTCCCTCATGGCTACTAAGAAATAAATATTAGAGCATATGATTCATTTGGAAAACAAGAAGGGTTTATTCAAAGCTCATCGTTTACAAAATATTTACAATGCATATTTTTAAAAACGGTCTTGATAATGCTAGGACATCAGCTGTACTTTTCATTGATTTTCACTGATTTATTCCATATTTTAGCCAATGCTAGCAACAGCAGAGGTACGTCACTTTTTAACCACACGTGATTTCAACCATTTCCCTCAACCAAAATCCGATCCCTGACCCTGAGTCAAGAGCAGACAGTTAATGTACAGTAGGGAACTCATCAGTTCTGATGATATCATGACCCATGACTCTTGTCCTATCTATTTTGTCCATCTAGTGACTACTATACTTTTTCCTGTTTAACAACCACCACGTCCTCGTCCTCCTCCGCTTCCTCCGGCTCCGCCCCCCACACCTGGACACGCCCCTCCATGGCTGTGAGGAGGCGGGTCTCCGAGGGATGGAAGGACAGCGATTGGACGACAGCCTTTCCGACTGGCAGCTTCAGCGTCAGAGAACCCTGAGAGAGAAACAAGAGATGTTAAAAAAATAGAAAGAATCTAACACCAATACTCTTTAGGCACACAATTCCGGTACTCGAGCAACACGGACCTACTCATGTTTTCATCCTTGATAGCGAACATACTATGTTCTTGAATCTGCAGCTGTTAAATTACAGATAGTTAGCTAAAATCAATAAATCAAATCAATTGATTTTGATAGGTAGGGGAGCTATCTATTACTGAATAACTTATCCATCCCACGTACCTCCACCAGGTCCCAGCAGTAGACGTGTCCGTCCTCAGAGCAGCTCAGTACGTGAGTATCTTTACTGGACAGACAGCAGTCCAGCTTGTAGCCCTTCATCTTGTGTCCTGTGTACTCTCCCAGCATCTCCCCTGTGCTCTTGTCCAGTAGACGCACGGTGGAGTCCAGGCTGGAGGTCAGAGTGCACTGGGCGTCCGCACTGAAACACACACACGTGATGGGGCCTGGAACACAGAGACAAACACATAACAAATCAATGCTACTCAGGGTGGTCTAGGTACAGAACTTAGTGATAGTTAGTAAAACAACTAGTTGGTAAGACTAGATACTGACTGTTGATGAAGTCCACATGCAGCTGGCCCATCCGCAGGTCATACCGCCTCACTCTCCCATCCACTGACCTGGAGAAAGAAATTAGATAGAAAAGACAGTTAGAGGACTCTTCTATGAGAATGAAACTGAATTGAACAGAAAGGTGCAGACTTGGTACTGACCCAGTGAGCAGCTCGTGTTCAGACACCTTCAGACTGCTGACACCATCTTGAGCCTCGTCCAGAATCTGGATGGGGTCAAACTTTCTGGACCTGGTGTCCCAGCAACGCACTGTACCATCTATGGAGCCTAAAGAAGGACACACACGGAGAACCATTATCATAAGCAATCACTTGAGATGGGTCCTGTTGGGGCTGAGCAGGACAATGCTGAAGCCACAGACCTGGCTGTAGCTGTGACTGAGATGGGTCCTGTTGTGGCTGAGCAGGACAATGCTGAAGCCACAGACCTGGCTGTAGCTGTGACTGAGATGGGTCCTGTTGTGGCTGAGCAGGACAATGCTGAAGCCACAGACCTGGCTGTAGCTGTGACTGAGATGGGTCCTGTTGTGGCTAAGCAGGACAATGCTGAAGCCACAGACCTGGCTGCAGCTGTGACTGAGATGGGTCCTGTTGTGGCTGAGCAGGACAATGCTGAAGCCACAGACCTGGCTGTAGCTGTGACTGAGATGGGTCCTGTTGTGGCTGAGCAGGACAATGCTGAAGCCACAGACCTGGCTGTAGCTGTGACTGAGATGGGGCCTGTTGTGGCTGAGCAGGACAATGCTGAAGCCACAGACCTGGCTGTAGCTGTGACTGAGATGGGTCCTGTTGTGGCTGAGCAGGACAATGCTGAAGCCACAGACCTGGCTGTAGCTGTGACTGAGATGCACTTTGCTGAGGAGGGATGAAGGAATGAGAAAACTCACCAGATAAAATGACTGTAGCTTCTTCATTGAACTGGACACAGTTGACTTTCTGCAAACAGAGAGACAGAGGCCGAGCCGTATCCATGAATATAAATGGCTCTAGTCAGAGGTTGTTGCTATTGAATTCTTTCCTGTCTCTATTCCTTCAACATCAACATCTCTTTCTATCTTTTATTCTGACCCACCTGACCTCTCCTACCCGCTTCTCTCTCCCTCCCCCCCTTTCTCTAAAACTCTCTCTCTCTCTCTGTGACACAGAAAATATAGTTTTATTGTGTTCCTTCACCCCAGCGTGACCCCTGAGTTTCCGGGTGACCTGTCCCGTGGCGACGTCCCAGAGGATCACCGTCTTGTCCGAGCTGCAGGAGCACAGCTGGCTGTTGTCATAGGAACTAGGGAAGGAATCAATGGTAAGACACACACCATTATCTCAGATCATATTCCCCCAGGGGCCCAGAGGCAGCAGGGAGACAGTGAAGGACAAAGCAGGCAGATGGATAGAGTAAGACTACACAAGCAAGCATGTAGATTGATCACATAGAGATTGATCCACAGAGGCAAGAGAGACAGCAGACTGACAGAGAGTAAAGGACACAGAAGGCAGATGGATGGATAGGGGAACATAAGCAAGAATACTGAATGGGTAAAAAATGGGCTCCTTCTTATCTAGCAACTATATTGTATGTCTCCATCTCTAATGCATATCTCCTACTTCATATAAGGGAACATAGAGGCATTGGCGTCTGCATTTGGCTAGCTATCGCACTGAAAGAGAAAGCTCAGTGAAGTTAAGCGCTTCCCACTCAATCAGATCTAGGATCAGCTTTATTTAACCCAAATTTGGCCTATACCAAAAACTTTATTCAATAAAGAGTTCCTCAATCAGCTGTCTGAATTGCTCTAGAGCAGGGGTCTCCAACAGGTAGATCTCAAATCAAATCACATGTTATTGGTCACATACATGTGTTTAGCAGTTGTTATTGCGGGTGTAGCGAAATGCTTGTGTTTCTAGCTCCCACAGTGCAGTATATCTAACAAGTAATATCTAACAATTTCACAACATATACCCAATACACACAAATCTAAGTAAAGCAATGGAATTAAGAATATTTAAATAAATATATGGACGAATATATACAGTGAGGGAAAAAAGTTTTTGATCCCCTGCTGATTTTGTACGTTTGCCCACTGACAAAGACATGATCAGTCTATAATTTTAATGGTAGGTTTATTTGAACAGTGAGAGACAGAATAACAACAAAAAATCCAGAAAAACGCATGTCAAAAATGTTATAAATTGATTTGCATTTTAATGAGGGAAATAAGTATTTGACCCCTCTGCAAAACATGACTTAGTACTTGGTGGCAAAACCCTTGTTGGCAATCACAGAGGTCAGACGTTTCTTGTAGTTGGCCACCAGGTTTGCACACATCTCAGGAGGGATTTTGTTCCACTCCTCTTTGCAGATCTTCTCCAAGTCATTAAGGTTTTGAGGCTGACGTTTGGCAACTCAAACCTTCAGCTCCCTCCACAGATGTTCTATGACTGAGAGGGGGTCAAATACTTATTTCCCTCATTAAAATGCAAATCAATTTATAACATTTTTGACATGCGTTTTTCTGGATTTTTTTGTTGTTATTCTGTCTCTCACTGTTCAAATAAACCTACCATTAAAATTATATACTGATAATTTCTTTGTCAGTGGGCAAACGTACAAAATCAGCAGGGGATCAAATACTTTTTTCCCTCACTGTAGAATATATAAATAAATATATGGACGATCTACCAGTAGCTCTCAGCCCACCTATGAGTAGCTCGCCAATCAATTCAGAAAGTACATGCATTTTTTTCATGTGTTCTATCGCAAACTGTCAAACATAAAGCTCCCGGCTACTATCCAATCAAAGCCACAGTGACATTATCCCACCCATGGTTAGCCACTACTGGCTTCAAAATCCAAACGTAACACAATATCTGCCAATTAATTTCCAGCAATATTGCCCATCTATTTGGTGCACACGTTTGTCTATCACTCTGTATGTAGCCAGTTAGCAATGATGATAACCGTCTTGTGGGTAGACAGACAGAAAGACTTTCCCCAAAAACCTTCTCAAGTAAATGTTAACTGCGAAGTAGGCTTACCTGACATAACTATTTCATGATTATTTGTATCAATTGGGTGGCGATTGTTTTGCAAACCCTGCCATGACGTGCTGCAGCAGTAGGCTCAACCGAAACATTCCTCTCTTGCTAGATGTGCAATTAAAGGGGAATTACACTAAAACATTAAAAAATCTGACCTACATTTCTTTTTTCTGATGTGATTTAAGCACTGACATGGACTCAGAACATCAATTTTAGATTACTCTCTTTGAATAATTGTAATATTGAGAGCAAAAAAATGAAACAAATTCTAAAACCAGGAGAAAATTAAACTGAGAAAACAGAATTCAGGAAAATACTAAATATAATTTTATGGGTCCCCCTTAGAGTTGTTTTAACCATTATTTTACCAGGTACAGTACCAGTCAAAAGTTTGGACACACCTACTCATTCAATGGTTTTTCTTTATTTTTACTATTTTCTACATTGTAGAATAATAGTGAAGACATCAAAACTATGATATAACACATATGGAATCATGTAGTAACCCAAAAAGTGTTAAACAAATCAAAATATATTTTATATTTGAGATTCTTCAAAGTAGCCACCCTTTGCCTTGATGACAGCTTTGCACACTCTTGGCATTCTCTCAACCAGCTTCACCTGGAATGATTTTCCAACAGTCTTGAAGGAGTTCCCACATATGCTGAGCACTTGTTGGCTGCTTTTCCTTCACTCTGCGGTCCGACTCATCCCAAACCATCTCAATTTGGTTGAGGTCGGGGGATTGTGGAGGCCAGGTCATCTGATGCAGCACTCCATCACTCTCCTTCTTGGTAAAATAGCCCTTACACAGCCTGTCCCACTAAGCCCAAACCAGATGGGATGGCGTATCGCTGCAGAATGCCTTGAATTCTAAATAAATCACAGACAGTGTCACCAGCAAAGCACCCCCACACCATAACACCTCCTCCTCCATGCTTTATGGTGGGAAATACACATGCGGAGATCATCCGTTCACCCACACCGCGTCTCACAAAGACACAGCGGTTGGAACCAACAATCTCCAATTTGGACTCCAGACCAAAGGACACATTTCCACCGGTCTAATGTCCATTGCTCGTGTTTCTTGCCCAAGCAGGTCTCTTCTTATTATTGGTGTCCTTTAGTAGTGGTTTCGACCATGAAGGCCTGATTCACACAGTCCCCTCTGAAAAGTTGATGTTGAGATGTGTCTGTGACTTGAACTCTGTGAAGTATTTATTTGGGCTGCAATTTCTGAGGCTGGTAACTCTAATGAACTTATCCTCTGCAGCAAAGGTAACTTTGGGTCTTCCTTTCCTGTGGCGGTCCTCATGAGCGCCAGTTTCATCATAGCACTTGATTGGTTTTGCGACTGCACTTGAAGAAACTTTCAAAGTTCTTGAGATTTTCCGTATTGACTGACCTTCATGTCTTAAAGTAATGATGGACTGTCGTTTCTCTTTGCTTATTTGAGTAGTTTTTGCCATAATATGGACTTGGTCTTTTACCAAATAGGGCTATCTTCTGTATACCCCCCTACCTTGTCACAACACAACTGATTGGCTCAAGCGCATTAAGAAGGAAAGAAATTCCAGAAAGTAACTTTTAAGAAGGCACACCCGTTAATTTAAATGCATTCCAGGTGACTACCTCATGAAGCTGGTTGAGAGAATGCCAAGAGTGTGCAAAGCTGTCATCAAGGCAAAGGGTGGCTATTTGAAGAATCTCAAATATAGAATATATTTTGATTTGTTTAACACTTTTTTGGTTACTACATGATTCCATATGTGTTATTTCATAGTTTTGATTTGTAAAATTTTTTACATTTTAGTAATTTAGCAGACACTCTTATACAGAGCGACTTACAGTTAGTGAGTGCATACATTTTCATACTGGCCCCCCGTGGGAAACGAACCCACAACCCTGGTGTTGCAAGCGCCATGCTCTACCAACTGAGCTACAGGGGACAGTGATGTCTTCACTATTATTCTACAATGTAAAAAATAGTAAAAATAAAGAAAAACCCTTGAATGAGTAGGTGTGTCCAAACTTTTGACTGGTAGTGTATATTGACATAAGACACATCTGTTGTACACCTAGGCCCGGGGTAGAGTTGCAAAAAAATTAGTAGCTTGTGAATTGTTTATTTAAAAAGAAAAGTAGCTCTCATGCTAGAAAAGGTTGGAGACCCCCACTGTAGAGGCACCAAATCATCCAATTTTAGATCGTTTTTGGAGATTTAAAAAAACTAAATTCAGATTTACCTAACTCAGTGGAGATCAAAGGGATCTCCTGAGTAAGCCATCCCTGAGACTGGGTCTGGTAGCTCGTACGTCTGCAGATTAACAATGAAGTAACGTACCGTGGAAGTTTGTGCAAGAGGGCTTTATAACCAAAAAGAGCGCAATGCATCGATCTACAAGACTCCAAAGAGGGCCAGCCTACTTTCTGATACAGTGATGTGTAATAATACAGATACTGACCCATCAGCATCTAGCACCTCGTATCCATGGCCACTGTACGTCTTCAGTAGTGTCCCTCGACTCACACTCCACAGCTTCAGAGACTTGTCACTGCCGCAAGACAGCAGGTAGTTACCATCAGCTGAGAGAGAGAAAGAGAGGGGTGGGGGTGGGGGAGAGAGAGACAGGGAGGGAGGGAGAAAGAGGGGGGTGGGAGGGAGGGAGAAAGAGGGGGGGGGTGAGGGGGTTTGGTCGAGAGAGAAAAAGAGAGAATGAAATAAGAGGCAACAAGAGCGAGAATGTGATCATTAAAAAACACCCCAAACACATTATATAGATTCACTCTCATGACATACACAAGCAGCTCCAAGAGGCAACAAGAGCGTGAATGTGATCATTAAAAAACACCCCAAACACATTATATAGATTCACTCTCATGACATACACAAGCAGCTCCAAGTTGACCAACAGTCAATGCACCTTATGGTATGGGTGTTTGTTTGAGTGCTCACCATTGAATCGCACAGCTCTTACAGCCCCTTGCTGGCAGTCTATGGTCCTGAGAAGGTGTTGGGGGAGCTGGGGGACCTCAGGTTTGGGCTGGGGAAACGACATTTCACACTTCTTCCTGTAGAATGAGAGATGGAAACATTTAGCTATTATTTTTCTCCTGACTTGAGCATCAATTCACGTTAGTAGTGGAAAGAGCAAGTGCTATGGAAAGAGCATCATGAAACTTGGCTAACTAGCTACCTGAAACGCCTCGCTTCTTCGCTTTAGTTTGAAGAGAGAGCAATCATAAACTGACTCATATTGATTACTGTTAGATACGTTAGCTAACAAAAAACGAACAAATGCTTAATATTTTTGCAAAGTGTAGTTTACTTCCGGTCTGTGATACGCGTTGCATTCTGGGTAAAAAAACATTTGTGTCAAACTAAAAGTCCCAATATTCTCCCTCAGCATTGATAGTGTCCTTCGGGTCCTTTAAAACTTTTATTTTGAAATGCATCCCTCGCACGGCGGAACTGATAGGCCCCGCCCCTTCATTCATCGAGCTAGCTGACGGGTCCCACTCCACACCGTTTTGCCACTAAATTAATCCTTTAAAATATCTCAACAAGAAGGACATTATGTCCGCAAACAACATGTCAGGCCCACAAAGGGTAAACAAAATTATCCGGTGAGTACAATTGAGTAAATGTCGTTGGGTTTGCTCGCTAGCATTGCTAACTAGGTAGCTACTTAGCTAAAGCACACGTCATCAGCACTATTCTAACGCGATTATAGACTAGCTAAAAAGCTAGCTAGCTAGCATTTTGTAAACTAACTAGATGTTGTTACACTGACGTATAGCTAAGTAAGGTAGCTAGTTACGTTATTGATGGTAGGGTCATTCATATATTGGTTGTTGTTACAGATACAAGCCCCCCAGCACGGACGCAAACCCCACCCTGGAAGATCCGACTCCAGACTACATGAACCTACTCGGCATGATTTTCAGCATGTGTGGCCTGATGCTGAAGGTGACTCAGATACATCTGTTTATACAAAACATACAGACAGATGACCTCGCCCCTCCCCCATTATCTCCTTTCTCTGTGTGCGTGTGTGTGTAACCTCCCCAAGGAGAAATTGCCCCACTGTTGTCCCGCCTACCCTCCCCATTTACGGGATTAAAGTCAACCACCTGGGGGACAACTCCAGCCTTTCAACTGAGTGGTACATGCTAGAAGTGTGTGTGTGTGCGCGCGCGCGCTGACTGCTGCCGCCGCCACTGAAATCAGTCTAGTACTAAAATATTACGTAGGGCGTATGTAGTCGGGGTCCCTGTGCTAGCATAGCAATTTATTTTCCTTCACTGTCCCTGTCCTCCTTACTGAGCTCAAACTAGTGATCCTCTGCTACGCAAACACACGTGACCGCACACTTGACAAGGTACTAGCCAGTTGCGTTATCGAAAAGGCACTTATTCAGCAATGCTAATGGGGACATTTCAAGCTGTGGATTGAAATTGCAGTACGAGCTTAACCTGTTACACATAGGCACATTATCTTACACAATATATTAGTAACTGTCTGTCTATGCTACAGCACTTCTAAAGCTTCACGCAGAAAAGCTGACACACACACATTATAAAGTATAGTATGTAGGTCATTTTGTGGTCAGTAACCTCCTGTGTTGTGTGTTTCAGTTAAAGGGGTCCGCCTGTGTTGTGTGTTTTAGTTAAAGTGGTCCTCCTGTGTTGTGTGTTTCAGTTAAAGTGGTGTGCGTGGATAGCAGTGTACTGCTCCTTCATCAGCTTCGCTAACTCACGCAGCTCAGAAGACACTAAACAAATGATGAGCAGCTTCATGTGAGTAGAACAAATACGTGTGTGTGTTCTGTCTTTTATCAAGTCTCATATTTCCAACCTACCCAGGGTCTTTATGCGACTATGAGGGAGAGAGATAGAGAAGTATGAAGAGTAACAGTATAAAGTGTCTGCTGTTATGCCAAAATGCAGAGTTATCTATTAGCTGTCTCATAATGGCTTACTGTTAATGTGTTAACTATAATACCAGGACGCAGCAGGAAGTTAGTTTGGCAACAGTGTTCTACCTGTGGTGTATGCCCTAGGAACCAAATGGAGGAGGGACTAACCTGAATGTGTCCAATAAAAAACACTTGTTTTCATTGGTAAACGTTTTCCGTTGCAAAAACATTTTGCTACAGTTTGCGCTAATGAATACACTCCTGGCAATAAAACTAAAGTTAGTTTGGCAACGCTCGGCTCTACCTGGCATTGTGACACGAGTTGGGCTCAGCTTTAATGTCCAAAAGCTTTTAACAGTGACCTCCAGGTGTTGCATTTACCCATAACAATTTACTACAGCAGATAATACCACTCACTTTGTGGGAGCGTGTGTGTCTGTGTGGCATTTTTCCAGGGAAAGTAGTGTGTGTGTGTGTGTGGCTCTCCAGGTAAAGTAGAGAGTGTCAGGACATCAGTAGTAGATGCCTCCCAGTCCATCACCTAGATTAGTTTTTATTAAAGATAGTCTCTATGCGCTCCTGGCTGGTAACACAAACTGTTTGGATCAGCAAAATCTTGTAGAAGTGTTATATGCAGCAAATGCAATGTAATCATAATGGAAGAATATGAAGTTGCCCAATGCCCAGTTAGGCTTATATATACTGATCCAAGGTCGGTTTGGTTTTTCTCTTTCTAATAGTGATGGTTAAGATCTAAGGGATGGTAAGCTGATCCTAGATCTGTGAAACAAGGGCAAGGTCTAACCACTGAACCTGATGGCACTGAGGTTATATTAAAGATGCTGCTGCTGAACAATTTTTTTTCTTCAATCTCTTCTTCTTTCAATCAGGCTGTCCATCTCAGCTGTGGTGATGTCATACCTCCAGAACCCCCAGCCTATGTCGCCGCCGTGGTAACCAAGGACCAATGGCAGGGGGGGGCCTTGCAGGAGAGGGGCGGTTCCAGACTGAGAGTGGGAGACAGACTCCTGACTCGCCCACTGACCATCTGGGAGAGAGAGAGAGGGGGATGGATGGAGAGAGAAAGAGATGGATGGAGAGAGAGAGAGAGAGGGGGATGGATGGAGAGAAAGTGATGGATGGAGAGAGAGAGATGGATGGAGACAGAGAGGGGAGAGGGAAAAAGATGGATGATTGAGAGGAAGCACGAGGGTGGACATGAGGCAAGAACTAGAAGACCAGGTGGTCCTGGCTATAACTCTCTCTTTACTCTCCAAAATCTCTATTTTCCTGGAGATATTGCACGTTTTCTATTTAATTGTCTGATTCACCCGCTGTAAGCTGAGCTCTGTTAGTTGGAAATAAAGATAGAAGGTTTTATAAAGTCACTGTATTTTGTTTGTCCTGTTATATGTGTGACGGGGGTCACTGTGCTTAGCTGTATCACTGTATCCTGCTGCAGCTCACACTGAGACCAGAACCCGGGCCCTCTGCCTCGCAAACACACGTGACCACCCTCATGAAACACCTTTAGCCAGCTGTGCCACCGAAAAGGTACCAAGCTGAGGAGTTTGTTTAACCTATTCAGGTCCGTTACACATGCATATTCTGATAACGTCTTGGATCATTAGGCCCAAACACCACTGCCTTCTAAAATCTGACGCAAGAGCTTACATAGAGCAACTGTTATAAAAGTGAGTGTGTGCCTCTCTAGGCAGTCAGTAACGTGTACAATCTCACTCTGCAGTTTAGCTCTGGGAATAGCTACCTCAGTCCTAAAAGCTCTCCCCCCACCACACACACACACAGGACATAAACCCTCACTCAAGCCCTCAGTCTGTCCCTGTCTAATCGCAATCTAGGCACTGCTGTCCACCACACACACACGCTCTCTCCCTCCAGACTGTGTGTGTGTGCCTGCTGATGACAGAGCAGAGGGAGGGAGAGAGAGAGGCAGAGTGGGGAGTCAGCCGGATCTGAAGCTGATTTAGTGGACTTATAACTCACGTCCGACCAGCCTAGGGCGGTTCAGCCTCAGCAGATTGGGCACTTCTGCGTTCGGGACACATGCCAGAGACAACCGGTTTCAACAAACTCCACAGGATTTTTCCCCTGATTTTGCACTGACTTGGTGGGGGGATAGAATCACCAACTGGCCTGTTTTTGGAAGGGCGTAAATGAGTTTTTCCCCTTTGGTAGTTTATTGTAATGTTTTTTTCCCCTCTTGTTGTTCCCATGTGTGCCTTTGTGGGGTTTCAAAATGCAAACTGGCCCGTTTTTGGAAGGTACCTTAACTAACTTTTTCTCTGACTTTCCCAATGTTGTATCACAGCCGGCCGTGATTGGGAGTCCCATAGGGCGGCGCACAATTGGCCCAGCGTCGTCCGGGTTTGGCCGGTGTAGGCCGTCATTGTAAATAAGAATTTGTTCTTAACTGACTTGCCTAGGTAAATAAAGGTAGAATACAAAAAATAAAATTGTATCAGAAGTGAGAGAGGATATTGAATTTGTCGCATCAGCAGTTATCGCCTCTTTTGATCAGTGGGGTGGGTGTATTTTTTGGGGTTATTAAAATCTTGAAGTGAACAGAAAGGCCTGCACACTGAATATGCTCCCAATTACCACTTGTGCTACTGCTGTAGGGCTATCTCATCTGCCTAATTTTGATTGATTGGAGATGTTGGAAAACAATTATTGTTGTTGTCTACCATTGACCACTAGAGGGCGGAGTTGCGTTACAAATTAATGAGCAATGAGCATCGCATGGTCTGTTTTCGTCCCAAATGGCATTCCAGTAGTGCACTATGTAAGGAATGGGGTGTCATTGGGGACAAACCCTTGATGAAAGAACTGGCTCACTTCAGTACTGCTCTCAGACAGTATGGATTAAAACACGCAAACTCCTCTCTCCACATAACTCTCTCTCTCTTTCGTTGGCTCCACTCTCTCTCTCTTCCTCTCTCTCTGCTCTCTTTTTCTCTCATTCTCTCTCTCACTGTCTCTCTCAAGCTGTTTCTGCTCTTTCTCTCTCCCTTTCTCTCCCTCACACTCTCTCTTTCTTTACTCTCTCTCTCTCTCTCACTAGTACATGATATAGTTCTACTGAAGGTCAAGGTGCAGTAACAGGTACGTACAATACCACTGTTCTGCTTCACCTTCTTTTTTCAAAACATACAATACTCTCTTTATCTCTCTCATTCTCTCCTCATCTCTCTCTCTTTGCTCCAAAGAGAGACTGATGAGTCAGACTGACACAGGGTTTGTCCCAAATAGCACCCTATAACCTATACAGTGCACCACTGTTGACCAGGGCCCATAGGAGAATAGGGTGCTATTAGGGACGCAGACACAGAGGAAGAATGAATGAATGAAGGTGAATCGTGATATTCGTCTTAAATTCGTATTCTGGCTCTCTTTTCTCTTGGCCCCCCTAATGGATCCTATTGTGGGACACGGACCATTTACTTACATCATCTAAGTAGGCCCGTAAACAACTGTGGTCGTGTGTGTGTGTCCATGTGTGTTAGTTTGCATGTTTGCCTGTGTGTGTGTGTGTGTATCCGTGTGTCAGAGGGCCCCTACAGGGTGAGTGATTGGGGACAGGGCTGATGACGGTGAGAGCCTGACTCAGCGTCTTGCCGACATACACACCCACTCTGCCGGTCCGCTCCCTGCCAGCATGGGAGCGACGTAACCTCCACTCCGGAAATTAGCTAGGTGGGCCACACACACACTAGATGGAACCATACATACACACACACTCTTTCTCTCTGCCCCTCTATTTATCAAATGTATCTTATCTTGCACTTGTCATATAGAGTGGTTCATATAGAGTGTTTCATATAGAGTGGTTCATATAGAGTGGTTCATATAGAGTGATTCATATAGAGTGGTTCATATAGAGTGGTTCATATAGAGTGGTTCATATAGAGTGGTTCATATAGAGTGATTTCATATAGCGTGATTCTTATAGAGTGATTCTTATAGAGTGGATTCATATAGAGTGATTCATATAGTGGTTCATATAGAGTGATTCATAGTGGTTCATATAGTGTGATTCAAACAACAGAGACCACGTCTGTGTTCTAAATGGCACTCTATTCTACACTGAGTGTACAAAACATTAGGAACACCTTCCTAATATTGAGTTGCACCCCCCTCTCCCCTTTTTGGCCACAGAACAGCCTCAATTCGTCGGGGCATGGACTCTACAAGGTGTCGAAAGCGTTCCACAGGGATGTTGACTCCAATGCTTCCCACAGTTGTGTCAAGTTGGCTGGATGTCCTTTGGGTGGTGGACCATTCTTGATACACACAGGGAAACTGTTGAGCGTGGAAAAACCCAGCAGTGTTGCTGGATAAAGAAGGCTTAAAAATCCTTCTTTATCCTGTCTCCTCCTCTTCATCTGCACTGATTGAAGTGGATTTAACAAGTGACATGAATAAGGGATCATAGCTTTCACCTGGATTCACCTGGTCAGTCTATCATGGAAAGATAAGGTGTTCCTAATGTTTTGTACACTCAGTGTATAGTGCACTACTTCTATAGTGCACTACCCTATGGGCCCGGTCAAAAATAGTGCACTACATATGGAATAGGGTGCCATTTGGGATACATTCCCAATTAAACTAAAGGGTTTCAGGGAGGTCGTGGATCAAGTGTGATATTCCACAGAGGGTGGATGTGGATGAGCCCCTACTGTGTGTCACAGGGATATGGAAATAGTTAGAACAACTGAAACACACACACACACACAGGATCATAGTTAAATATTACCCATTGCCTGTTTCATTTTCTCTACATCTCTCTCTCTTTCTCTACAGGCTTGCTCTTTTTATTATTTCTCTCTCATGTCTCTCTCTTCCTCTCTCTCTCTCTCTCTCACTCACACACACACAGTCTTGTATAACTAACCTTATAGGAACACACAATTCAGTCCTATTTTCCCTAACCTAAATCTAACCCTAACCTTAACCCGAAAACCTAACCTTAACCCTAACTCCTAACCCTAAAACTAACCCTAGCTCCTAACCCTAAACCTAATTCTAACCCTAACACTAATTCTAACATTAACCCTATATCCACTAGAAATAGCATTTGACCTTGTGGGGACTAACAAAATGTCCCCAGTTGGTCCAATTTTTGTTCGTTTACCACAAGTATAGTTAAATACGTCCACACACACACACACACACGACAGACACAAAATACATATTTGGCTATTCACAATCACCACTATCCTTCATGTACGCTCCCCAGGCTCAATCACTGAGATATAATTTATGAACTATGCAACCTGTTCCTTGTGTGAATGGGCTCTCCTTCTACTAGACGCGGGCACGCGCATCGAGAGGTAGCCGGAGCACGTACGTTGATTTCTCTCGAACAAGAGAGGAGGGAACGCACATCGCACTTTCCGTCACACACACGCTGCAGGTTCTGTCAAGCTAACGACTCCAGCCAGAGATCGAGACGAGAGCGCGACGGAACGAACAATTGTCTGAAACTGAAGCACGGACCAGAAAGCGACGGAGAGGAGGACTATAGAGTAGAGAGAGAGATAATTTGCCTAAATATACCTTACAATTACAAGCCATTTCGGAGGTCCGCCTGCGTGCCCATTGACTACATTCTCGTCTTTTTTTAAATCATAATTTTTATTCTAATTTCTCGGTTGTTTGCTCTTGGAGTCAGTGACTGGCACGTTACGGGATGTGTTACGGAATTTGAAGATGGAGTTTTCCTCCCCTGTAGTGGATACGGTGCTGTTACTCATCTCGTCCTCCGGTTCATCTCAAGGTCCTACCGTTAGTTACTACTGCACCCCGGCGCCACGAGCCGCATTTATTATCCCACAGGTGCGCTCTTCTTCCTCTAGACCGCTCCTCCTCGCGACTAGGTCGGGTCAAGACTCCTCGAAAACTCTCCATTGTGGTTCGAAGATAACCACCAACTGTCAGGTAAGAAGACAGACATTCAAATGTTAATTTAATTAATTTTACGACACAACATATGCCATGTTGGGAACCGAACCGTCCACTATTGTCAATTTGACACCCATTCTATCGCAGCATATTGATGGATTCGACCACAAGTATTCAATGTGAAAATTGTGATTTGGCTAGAAGACAATAGCCCATGATATATCTGAACGTGTTTAGATGACGATATCCTGGGAAAACTATTACAAGTTTCAG